CCCGCCCCCGCCCCCCCCCCCGCCCCCCCCCCCCCCGCCCCCCCCCCCCCCCCCCCCCCCCCCCCCCCCCCCCCCCCCCGCCCCCGCTTCTCTTCTGTTTCTGTTTTTGTGTTTGCTGTTGTTGCAAGCATGCTGCCAGTCCTGAAGGCGGAATCTGTCTCGGCAAGGCTGGATATGGTTGAGCAGATGTGGTTGAGCATACATATCTAGTACAGTCAGCCTCATGTCATCAGGTGTTTACCAAGTCATAGAATATGATGAGGGAAGATGAAGAATAGGTCACAACACAGACAAGAAGAAACAAACTTCATGAAGTGGAAGATTGAATGTGGAAGGAGAATGTGGTTGGGATGTCTGAATGATGAATGTAAGTATATGAGAAAAAAAGAGACAGCAAGAACATACAAGCCATTGATGGATGATGAACATGACAGGTGCCATGAAGGGATGCCTGTGATGTGGTGGTTGCATGAAGGATGAATGCAAGTAGATGAAAAAGAGACAGTAAGAGCAGACAAGTCATGTGATGGATTATGGACACGATAACATGTCGGAGGGGTTGCTCTGTGATGTGGTTGATTCAAAATGATGAAGAGAGAAAGAAGAAGTAAGTTCAAAAGTGGGAATCAGCCTGTTTATATACCTGGCTTTCCTGCAAACGGTGCAAAACTCGAATGTCTCGCTTAAATAAGGTTGTAGACAGCCCTAAAAAGGAAAAAACAAAGGAAAGAGCCAAATACCAAAGAGGAAGGAACGAAGGTGTCAACGATCTATATAGTCACGTGATGGGCAATCGTGCAGATCGCGCCAAAAGTCATGTGATGGAGGATGAACATGACAAGTGCTAGGAGCTCACTGCTACCTAAAGTTTCAGGCTCACAGCCCTCTCGTCTGGACACAAAGGTCCTAAATTATGACATGCAGCCTACGAACTAGGGAGAAGTGGATTTGAGGTATTAGTAGGGAACGAGGAAAGATCAACATGAAATATTGACTATAGGCAATAATATATGGATGAGAATGCGGAGAAACTACGGGCGGCCGGGGCCACGGATGCTGATAATCCGGAACTTGATTGGCCAGCCACTTATTAGCGCTGTACTTCACCAAACTTGAAGAAACTCGAGATCCACTTACCGTCAAATGCGCGAAGCTGGTTGGCCCATTCGGTGAACATCCGAAGCTTGGCAGATTTGTCTTTCTTCTAGAAGTCCCAGGTAGTCCGTCTCCTTTAGTCTGGGACCCTCCGCTTCAGGATCTACTAAGTGGGGTGCTGTATCGAGTACCGTATTTTTTATTTCTGGTGTTCTCCCCTGTGTTGGAATCGCGAGCTGAAGATTTGGAACTCATCCGACAAGAGACTTTAGGTAGAGTGGACGCTATGGCCCCTAAGCTCAAAGGCAAGTCATTGAGCCTCGCCATCAGTCTTATTGGGGCTGTCGGATTCATACTGCAGGGCTACGATCAGGCAATTGCCAATGGCCTGTTGATACTAGACTCTTTCATCGCCGTATTCCCTCAAGTCGATACCGTTCAAACTACTGGTCGTGAGAAATCTCACAACTCTAAAATTCAAGGTATCTACTCGGATGAATCAGCTGGCAGATGTTCAAGAGAGCAATGTTGATCATTAAAAGGTACAACGGTCGCTATCTATGAAGTTGGATGCGCAATAGGGGCAGGTTCCTGCGCCTTTTTAGGTGACAGACTCGGTCGTCGCAAGACCATCTTTCTTGCCGGTTGCATAGCTTTCGTTGGTATAGCTATCCAAGCAAGTTCTTTCTCACTCGGTCAACTTATTGCTGGCAGAGTCATTACTGGTAAAGCCCCTTATCATTGAACAGATTGCAATAAGTTAACCAGTAACTGAACAGGTCTTGGTGTCGGTGGCTTTACCGCTACAATCCCAATGTACGTCTCCGAGTCATCTGGAGCAGAGGAACGTGGACGAATGGTGCTACTGGAGGGATGGTTTGCAATTGGCGGCGTTGTTTTCGCAGCATGGTTGGGATTCGGACTCTCCTATGTTAGTGATAGCTCGGTCAGCTGGCGTTTGCCCATCGCCTCTCAAGGCCTCTTTGGTCTCATTGTTGTGGGGTGTATCATGCTGCTACCCGAGTCTCCTCGGTGGCTCGCACGTGTCGGACGTCTCGAGGAGGCATCTGAAGTTCTAGCTCGCATGGAAAATGTGGCTGTCGACTCTGAGCATGTCTTACAGGAGCTGGAAATTATCCGACAGTCACTTGAAATTGACGAGAACGCCGAACCAGCAGGTTCCTCGTCGCCATTCGCGCTCACGAAGAACCGCCACCTGCACCGTACAGTTATTGCTGTTGGTGTAAATATTCTAGCGCAGATGACCGGCATCAACATCATCACTTTTTATTCTGATATTATCTTCCAGTGCGATCTGGGATACTCAGGTACACTCTCGGGAATTATCACTGGGTGTCTGCAAATCTGGCAATTTTTGGCTACAGGCGTGGCCGTTCTACTCATCGATCGCGTCGGACGTCGTCCATTGCTCATTGCTGCGGCTGCCGGTATGACCATTGCCCAGGCCTGTTTGGCTGGGCTATCGAGTGATCTTAAAAACACATCCATGGCTGGCGCCTCACTCTTGTTCTACTTCGTAGCGCTTTTCTGCTTCCCCATTGGACTTTTCCTTGTCCCATTCATGTACGCCGCAGAGATCGCACCGCTAAAAACTCGTGCTCAAGTTACTGCTATGGCAGCTGCAGCAAACTGGCTCTTCAACTTCGTATTGGCAGAGGTGAGCCCAGTCGGGTTCGCTACTATCCACTGGCGGTATTACATTGTCTACGCATGTATTAGCGCCTTTGCTTGTGTGTTCTTCTACTTGTTCTGTCCTGAGACTAAGGGCCGTACACTCGAGGAGATCGATGATATTTTTGTTCAGTCGAAGTCTGTCTTCGATACTGTGCAAATTGCACGAGAGACGCCCTACCAGACGGAGATTCTGGCGCACGTCAGTGATATCGAGAAAGGTGGACTGAACGCCACACAGGTAGAATGCCCCAGCCATTCATGTAGGACATGGACTGATAATGAGATAAATAATTAATTCAACCCGAGACTTTGGCATGAAGAGCAGATCGCAACTCTATATTCGTCAAGCACCCAATTCCAAACGCAGGAATGATACGGACACAACGCAACAAAGTTGACGAGGGCAGATATCGCTGCGAGTGCTTTACCCTTTTTAGGAAGGGCATAGTATATTGCCGTGTGTACATATCTAATGCCAATAAATGTAACGGAGTAGCAACCAGCTGAGTTAAGACGGGCACGGTCAACTGGGTGATGATCGGCTTTGCGTTGGGATGAGTCATCAAGCGGTCGGGGATGGCATCCGACAACCACGGGGCCAAAGTAAATGACCCAAAGATAGTCACACCGTCTCGTGCGAGGAAGATAGCAGCTGCAGTTCGTGCCAAAGATTTGTTCTGGAGTACAGAGATTGGAGTGTTTGTTGTCAATGTCTTGGCATCGGGACCCCTGCCGGTTCCGTATTCCTGCGCAAATCGGATGTCCTTCCACAGCGCTAGCGGCACATTGGCCATCATCGTCGTGGCAAATGTGATCGTCCCCGCGGCGGTTATCTCAAGCTTGTGACTGATTGTGTCGGTCACATTTGCGACGGAATAGGTTGCCGCATAGAGGGCCCAGACAATACCGAATGGCCGTTGGAAAACAAACAGACCCGGCCGTCGGAGGGCCGCGAGCGCATGCCGATGAAGTCCGCGGAGAATGGGTTGTTTGAAGGCAGCTTGCTCGACAAGCGCTCTGAGGGTATGTATTAGCGCGAAATCATCGCGCTTGGAAACATCCAGACGAACCTATCGATAATTGCGACCGCGGGTGTCACTAAGGACGCCGAGGCTGCTGCCGCGGCGAGATCGCCTGCTAGCTGTCCTAGCAAAGGATTGCCCCAGCGAGCTTCATTTGATTGAGCTTCTTGTTGCATAATGATAATTTGAATCACATAGTCATGATTTCTCATGCTTATCTACTTGAAATATATGATTACAATACCCAATCAAGCCTGATACGATCACCGGATGGCATCCCGATGCTGCAGATTTCGAACAGCAGCTATGAATTTAGCTTTATCTTGTCCGGAGCTCAAGCTCACTGCAATAGTTCTGTGGGGTAAACGGGGAAGCCTCCGACATTTCTAAGAGGGGTCGTTGACGTTTAAACTAGTCTGTTGTCTCAAACTGATTTCTTGAGTTTACATTGTCATTCACTAAACTCAACCTTGCGATCCATCATGTCTACTACACTCATGAGACTCCGCTCGGCACGGCCTATTGGCTCTCGCCTGCGCTCTGTTCCTGCAGGACTCTCTGTTCAGACTCGGGCTAAGACTACTATGCCATTCCGTCTCCCCGATGCTCGAAACGAACCAAACGTGAGTGCGACAACTACTTAACCCACCTCAATGCTAATCACACTATAGCCTTCATACAAAAAAGGCTCCCCGGAGCGCGCCAAGCTTGAAAAAGCACTGACGAAGCTCCGCTCTCAGCTGCCCGTGCGGAGTGAGCTCTTCTATGATGGAAAGTTCCAGGCAAGCTCCAAGTCTTGGGATCAACCATTGCCTGCCGAACATGCCGTCACCTTTACAAACTACCCACTTGCCACCGATGAGCAGACCCGGTCAGCTATTGAACTAGCTCTGGAGGCAAAGCAAAGCTGGCAGGATACCCCATTTGTTGATCGAGCTTCAATCTTCCTCAAGGCTGCGGAGTTGCTATGCACCAAGTACCGATACGAGATTATTGCAGCTACGATGCTCGGACAAGGGAAGAACATTTGGCAGGGAGAGATTGATGCCGCGGCTGAATTGGCGGATTTCTTCCGCCTGAACTGCAACTGGGCAGCTGAAATCTTGGAGAAGCAGCCAACTCGTGGCACTGATGGCATGTGGAGGTTAGTATGACTGGTTTGAGTTGTCGCAGATCATTTGCTAACTAGTCACAGCCGTATCGACTACCGTCCTCTAGAGGGCTTCGTTTACGCTGTCTCCCCGTTCAATTTCACAGCCATTGGCGGCAATCTGATTTGCGGGCCCGCGCTGATGGGTAATGTGGTACTATGGAAGCCTTCGGCATCTAATGTCTACGCCAGCTCTTTGCTCTACAAGATTCTTTTGGAGGCTGGTCTCCCTCCCAATGTGATCCAATTCGTGACCGGTGACCCTGAAGCCATTACTGAGACTGTGCTCGCACACCGCGACTTCGCCGGCCTGAATTTCATTGGTTCTTCCGATGTCTTCCGCTCTCTGTATGGCAAGATTGGACAAGGTGTTGCTGCGAAGAGATACCGCGAATTCCCTCGCTTCGTTGCCGAGACCAGCGGAAAGAACTTCCACCTTGTTCACCCGTCGGCCGATATCACCAGTGCAGTCAACCACACCATTCGCGGCTCATTCGAGTATCAGGGTCAGAAATGCTCCGCCACATCTCGTCTCTACTTGCCTGAGTCTCGCGCGGAGGAGTTCCTTACTAAGTTGAAGGCTGGTATCAAGGAGATTACCATTGGAAACCCGGACAAGGATTTGGAGGCTTTCATGGGCCCCGTGATCCACCGTGCATCATTCGAGAAGATCAAGTCCGTCATTGATGCTAGCAACAAGGACCCCTCGCTGAAGCTTATTGCTGGTGGTACTTATGATGAATCTGTTGGATACTACGTGCACCCTACCGTGTACCAAGCCGATTCACCAGACCACCGTCTCTTCAACGAGGAGATCTTCGGCCCGGTGCTTACCCTGTATGTTTACAAGGATGCCGAATGGGCTTCTATTTTGAAGTCTGTTGATCAGAATGGAGGCGGATTTGCTTTGACTGGTGCTGTCTTTGCTAAGGACCGTGGTGCTATCCGCCAGGCTGAAGATAAGCTCCGATACTCTGCCGGCAACTTCTATATCAGTAAGTCGCACAGTACCAACGTGAATTGTTGCTATATCTAATCGTCTACCTCTTACAGATTGCAAGACAACCGCTGCCCTTATCGGACAACAGTCTTTCGGTGGTGCGCGTGCTAGCGGAACTAACGACAAGGCTGGTAGCTCTGATACTCTGCGTCGCTTTGTTAGCCCACGGTTGATTAAGGAGGAATTCTTTGATCAGGATGAGGGGTTTATGTACCCTAGCAACCACTAAAGTTGAGATATAAAATGAATAGTTTATAGGTTTTTTGTTAACATATATGCACTTTCGCAATCTAAGCATACTTTCATTTATTTTCATCAGTTCCTCTTTTAAGATTAGTATAAGACACAATAGGAGCCAGCCTCTGTCCTTAACGTCGTAGGACTTCAATAATCTGATTTATCCATTTCTGTTATGCTACTATGTTTCGTATACTTTGCTTGTACCAATAAAGTGACTCTGACTAAATGTACTCCCTCACCATATCATACGTTATTCTAATTATCATTTCCACATCTGACCTCTTACGTGGCTTGCATTTTCTTATCAAAAACATCCAAAACCCCATTTGGGCACATCGGAAGGCCTCCCGATGGTCCATTTCTCCGCGCTCCCCGCACTACTCCCGGAGAGTCGGCATTGACGCCGTCGACTCATGAAGGTGTATTGGCCTGGAGCTATAGATATCGAACTATTAGGCCATCTGTTAGAAGTTCCTCATCAAATTTCACAATGGGTATCTCCAAGTGCGACCCGATCATCATTGTTGGTGGCGGAGCCTTCGGGCTCTCCAGCGCTCTTCATTTGACTCGCTCGGGCTTTACGAATATCTCTGTCTTCGAAAGAGACGAGCAGATTCCTCCGCGCTATTCAGCCGCCAATGACCTGAACAAGATTGTGCGCGCAGAATACGAGGATCCATTCTACACCGATTTGACAATCGTAAGCCCACGATTTCCGATGCTATAACCGAGTTGGTTACTGACCGATGTCTCATTTTATCTATTAACTAGAAAGCCATCGCCGCATGGAAAACTCCTCTTTTCGCACCTCATTTCCACCAGACTGGATTCCTCCACTGCGTGTCTGGCGAAGCACCCCAAAAGGCTATCGACACCCTCAATAGATTCCGCGCTTCCGCAGAAGGGAACGATCAACTCAAATCACATGTCGTGCCCATAAAGGGCGAAGACGACATTCGTCAAGCCTGCTGGCAGCTCGACGGCCCATTGACTGGGTGGAATGGATACCTGAACCGCTTCGACGGGTATGCACACTCCGGGAACGCACTGGCAGGTGTCTACCGCGCTATGCAGGCAGCCGGCGTACGCTTCTACCTCGGAGAGCGCGGCGCAGTCGATGAAATCGTCTATGTCAGCTCGCTGCAAGGCAAGAAGAGTTCCGGGATCCGAACGAAGGATGGGAAGTTCCACCCGTCTTCGTTGGTGATTGTCGCAGCTGGCGGTGCGGTGAGTCGTCTTGTCCCGGAGATTGGGAAGAAGGTCGTGGCCAAATCGTGGTCTGTGGCGCATGTCCATCTTACCGATGAAGAGACTTCTGCGCTGCGTGGTATTCCTGTCACCTATGCTCGTGACTTGGGTTTCCTCTTCGAGCCCGATCCTCAGACAAACTTGTTGAAGATCTGTCCCATGGGTGGAGGATATATCAATACGGATCCTGAGACTGGAGTTTCTCATGCGCCTGGGACTTTGGAGGAAAGTGCGTTTGTGCCGGAGCATGACGAGAGGAAGATGAGGAAGTTGCTGGCGCAGACTCTTCCGGCGCTTGCGAATCGCCCGCTGGTTAAGAAGTCGCTTTGCTGGTTTGCAGATACTGATGACTCGGACTTTATTATTGATTTTGTTCCGGAGACGTCGTCGTCGGTTGTTGTGTTGTCTGGTGATTCTGGGCATGGGTTCAAGATGTTCCCTATCTTTGGATCGTGGGTTTCGGATTTCCTGCAGGCTGGTCAGCAGCATGAAGCACGGTGGAAATGGAAGCATACTGATCCCAATGAGGGCAAGGGGGATTGGGGTGGTGATGTGAGCTGGCGCCTGGGAGAGTCGAAGGAGTTCTCTGAGATCCGGCCTACGATACTGTCCAAGCTTTAGATGATTTGAATATTTAATGTCGGCGAGTTCAACGTATAGTTAACCATTCAAGGCATAGACCGTCTTGCTTTTTCTTTCGGAACAGATAAAAATATCACGGAATTTATATTTGCAATTCGTCATTCATCAGACATTCAATTTACCATATACTATGTTCTATCATCGCATTAGACACCCACTCAGTATCATAACTCTCAATCGAGTTCGCAACAGCCATAACCTCAGCCGAAGTCAGCATCGTAGTAAAATCACACTCCACATCCAAACCAGGATCCGGCCTCAGAAGCGCATCATTATATCGAATAGATTGAGCCATAGCCCCAGGAATCGGCGTTGAAGAAGGAGAAGCTGGGTCAGAGATGATCTCAGCCTGCTGGAAGAAGTCAGGGACTGCTAAGTGTCGAGGCCGATCACTAGAGATACAGCCTAGTAATGTCTCGTGTAGCTGCTGGAGCTCGGATCGCCGAAATTTAGCAACTTGGTTTCCGTCTCTGATCATTTCGCCGAAGATGGCATAGGCTTTCTCTAGCCAGTTGGGGTGACTCTCTAATACTCGCGGGTCGATCGCTGGTCCCATGAGGAGGATGACAGTGGATACGAAGACTGATTCTAGATCAAAGGGGAGGAAGGTTTCTAGGATTTGGGTGTTAGTCACAAGGGCGTATCTGTAGCGAAAGTTTGTTGTACCTAAGAGGCCTTGACTCTGCAAACTGGAGAGAATGCTGATGATGTTCTGGGCGGATTCAAGACACATTTGCATCAGGTTTCGGACATTTTGGGATGCATTGAGGGATTCCAAACAGCTTTCTGGGGACTCGAAGCGGATCTTAAGAAAGCAGAATAGGAGAGGTCGGGTGGCCAGGATAATACACTGCATATGATGTGAGAACCTAGCGGATGCAGCTCTTCCCGCAGATGATAAGACACATACCTGGTGGTATTGAAGATGTAAGTATGCTGATATTCGAGAAACCCCGCTGCCTGGGTCCAAGTGTAGCGGAAATGACTCGCGAAGCTCATCGGCAAGCCCTGCGATGTTCGCCAATGCTGTTTTTGTGCTAAGTAGAAAAGTCCGATTAAAGCGCCCATTGATAACATATATTGCTGTTGGTTTTGTTAGAGGTGATAATCAACGATGGAAGCTCAGGAACTCTTACTGCTGTTCACCTCGGCAATGATCTTGGACAATTTGATGTGCATGCCCAATGACATTGTCTCTGATGGGTCTGCAAAGGTGGGGAGCTGGGTTTGCACATATCGGTCATTGATCGACTGAGGCAGACCCATTAACGATGTCATTTCTCTGTCCAGAATGTAAATAGTCCACCAGATTTTGCTGGATCTTTGAACCATGTCATGTCCTAAATCCTCGACTGGCATACTAGTGTGCATTCCTTGTGCCATAGCCATCCGCATGGCTTGTCCGATCTAAAGCATTGGTCAGCTGGGTTTTTCAAATGAGACGTTTCTTTTAGAAACCTTACGTAGTTATGTGCCGAAGTTCGAAAGTCAACACACTGGTAGTATAAGGCGATGCAGCATAGGATTTCCGTTCCCAGCATAGGATCACGGTACAGAGCAGTCGGATCAGGCAGAAGCTGCAAAGCTTTGACGAAATAGCACACCCCTGGTGGTTTTCTACCTTGAGCCTTGGGTTGAACAAATCCTTTCCCAAAGGCCAGGATGAGGAGAAAATGGATGTACCACAAGCTATTTGTCATAGATTGCCCATCTCCCAAGTAGTACTGATGCAGAGAACTCATGAACTCTCCTTCCTCAAAAAGGTGATACAATTGCCCGCACCGAAATTGAACGGCGTTGATCAGATACATGGTGTGATCGCGAGTCGGAACAACTGGAACATCTGGGCCCGGGCTTGTTCGTAACCCATCCCATCCCAGCTCATAGGTCGTTTCATCAAATATCAGAGTTTCTGTAGGTAATACATTCTGATAGAGGTGCTGATGTGCCAAGCTGAGGACTCGCCGGGTGAACGACCAGTTGGATGATGTTCCAAGATAGACTGTGGATGTTAGAGTCGCGCATTCCAAGAAACCGGCATAACCTACATGTACGACCATTTGCTGCAGACATAAATGCAGGAGGACCGGACGACAAAGGGTTAGCTAGCCCAGAGTCCAGATCCTCCAGGTCTTGGGCTTCATCAAGATCCTCTGGAGGACTAGTCCTCTGCAAAGGAGGTACATCTTCGCGATCTTTGGGATCTGCAACAGGTTAGTAGGCATCCATTTAAATAGATTAAATAGAAAGTAAGACAAACCAAATGTCTGAGTATCGAAATTCGGGCTGAAAGGGCTCACTTGGCCCTTCTGGCTCTGCTCTATACGCGCAATCTTCTGCTGCAGGTCTAGAATGTAACTGCGATAAATGTGAGATATCGATTCTTCTTAACACTCCATTTAACTTGCCCTCTTGTTACCAGGATTTTCTGGTCATGGTTATCAAAGACGCAAGTGAGCTTTCGCCTGCTACACTTTTCGCAGGGCTGCGCCCCGGAACATTTGATCTTCTGTCTCCGGCATCGCACACAACTAAATAGTCAGCGGTATGCATTTCTATTAATTTAAAATGCCACTCACGCATTCGACGATCGTTTTGCGAGTCTTCCATTACCCGCCATCTGTATTGTGATATGTTAGGAATCAGCGTGGCCGGAATGCGGGGGCCCGTGAGGCCCACGTGAGGCCCATGAGGGCCGTGAGGGGAATGTGTTGTTATCAGAAGGCGAAAGACGAATCAGACGGTTTCGCAGGGATGTGGATACAAAATCTTATCTCGAGGGAGCAGGGAAGTATGAGAGGGTGAAAGGAGGGAAGAGATAGGGATGTCGTCGGGTTCCCTCCCGATGATCCAAATGATTCGAGTCATTTGACATTTCCCTTTATTCTACCCATTCATGTACAACTTTTTCTTCTATATACATATCTAGCTTTCAACGCTGCCCAAGCAGATTTCGATTTGTCTCCCAAAATTGCCTGCATGCTGTGTGGCCCCAATGCTCCGTCCACCACTCTCCGAAGCTATCTTGAACACCTTGTTCATCCACCCGTAACACCCGCTCGTCTCTCTTAAGCGAACAGAGTGCACATGGATGAGATGCCTTTAGTGCGCCCTGGTCCGCCCGTGCCGTAATAACCTTGAGCGCACTAGGATCTGGGATCGTAGGGATTGGCCGCTGGCCCGCCGCTTGTAGAATAGCATTGAAAATCGCCGCCCGTTCACGCCAAGTAGTCAGCACGTCAACAGCGTCTTGTTCCTCTTTGATGTTCTCTTGCTTGTTCACGCTGTTAAGTTTCATACCACCGGCTTTGCCGGAACGGGCAGGACCGATTCGCATGCTTTGACTAAGAATTGTGTCACGTTTCCACCGGAGACTTCGCCCTGCAATTACGCGGGCGGCCGATTGAAGTACATTGTGAATATTTAAGGCTGTTGTTGAAACGGTGCTTGAAGATGAGGATGACAGTGGGGCCGAAGATCGCAGTTGGGATTTTGCGAGTGTAGCATCCTTCTGAAGATTCTCAAACACATCCAAGAATAACTCGAGAAGGATTGATGGTGGTGGGATGTTTGTTGGACGCACGGTTGCTGCAGGGGCTGTGGTCCCAGAAACAGAGCTAGTAGGAGCTGGGCTAGGGGTGGTGGGTTTGGATTTAGGCACAGGCTTGACACTAGGTCCATCTGAAAAATCATCCCAGTCGTCGAAGGTGTCGTCATCCCAGGTTGATGCAAGCGGCTTAGTGGCTTTGACAGGCGGTTTTGTAGGTGGTCGTGTTTTCTTCTCGGCGACCTTGGGGGGAGGTTGGCTAGCAGGCACATCGGCGAAATCACCCCAGTCACCAAACGAATCATCCTCCCATGTCGCCTGATTTTGGCTATTATCAGGTTCGAGAGGATACTTCTTTTTAGTAATATTCGAGTGAAGTTTCACAGCCGGTGCAAAGTCTTGCAATGAGAGTGAATCGAGCAAGTCAATTGTTTTAGAAGCTTGCGGACCATCTTGCCGAGGCTCTGGTTTTGGAGATATAGCTGTTGATGAATGTACAAGAGTGGATTGTGCATGTAGCGTGTCTGAATCAGGGACCTCGAATTCGCCCCAGTCATCGTCTGCATCACTTGTTGGTGTGTCAAATGCTGCATCGAATAATACATCACTATGTGGATTCAAGGGAATGTCAAATTCCTGACGACCAGGTCCCTGCCACGAAGCTGCTGGAGTTGCAAGTTGACTGGCTGCTCCAGGAGTCGGATTGGGACGTTTGTTGTGCTGCACACTTCCCGATGACCCGAAGAAATCGATGTTCTCGTCGTCGAAGGATGAGTTTTTGTGGTATTGCGATGGCTGCTGTTCCGGCCTATTGTCCGGAGCAGGCGCCTGACCAAACTCTGCTAGTAGATCAGCGGACATCTTGAATGTACACTAGTGTCATGAAGCTGTGAGAGGTGACATAAAAGTGCAGCGATGCAGCGGGTTTCTGCAGGGAGAACGACACAGGATCGAATATGCCAATGTCAGCCGCACTCTATATCATTTTAGATATGCAAACTTCCCAATCCGAACTAAACCGGAGTATAGCGGTGGAACATCGCAAGGGCCGAGTCAGGGCAGTAGCGCGAGATAAGGCACGGGCGGTCTACTATCGCCCGCATCCCCCTCACCTTCTATTGTTCTCTCCCTCATCCTCAGCAATGAGAACCATTGAGGAGACCAGGTATTTCTCTCACGCTGTCTGTCAATTTTTACTTTTACTGACCCTCACAGAAAGAGATGGGACATTTTGTTCTCCGACAACACCACGACTTCCGACCTCCGAGCGGCGTTGCAATCCGAGCAAGGAGGAAACCTGTGCAATGACGGACTGAGATCAGTTTGCTGGAAGGTTCTGGAGATTTGACAACGTGAGGTGGAGATATATGCTCATTCTTCGTGCAGGCATTTCTACTCTTCGACGGGTTGGAGAAGACTGAATGGGCGCCTAAGCTGGACGAATCTCGGGGTGCCTATCGTGCACTGCGAGATCATTTCTTGAAATACATCGAACATCCAGACGATTTGGAGTCGACTGTTGATCCTCTGGCGGATGATGAGCAGGTATATAATTACCCTCTCGCTGTGCTCCGCCCAACTCGAAGAACTCTCCGATCTAATAATTTTTTGTTGGAACAATCAGTCCCCTTGGCAAACACTCCGACACGATGAGACGCTGCGTACCGAGATCCTACAAGATGTCGACCGATGCTTGCAGGAAAACTTCTTTTTTCAAGAGCCCGACACGAAAGCCAAGTTGACTGATATTCTGTTCGTCTACTCGAAGCTCAATCCAGATGTCGGTTATAGGCAAGGAATGCACGAATTACTCGCCCCTATTCTCTGGGCAGTAGATCGAGACTCGGTGAAGCCACACCCCGAAGGACTTGATGCGAACAAGGACACAAGTGAGGGTTTGATGCTGGAGATGCTTGATGCACAATTCGTGGAGCATGATTCATTTACGTTGTTTCTATCTGTAATGCAGACGGCCCGTTTATACTATGAGCACGGCGAGACACGGTCAGCCAATGGCCAGATGGATGTCATTCCGATTGTTGATCGGTGTCATTATCTCCATAAGGAAGCTTTGGCGATTATAGATCATGAGCTCGCCGAGCACCTTGAAGCTGTGGACATATTACCGCAAATTTTCCTAACGTAAGCAGCTTTCAGTCACCTATCTACTTTCTTCTGTACTAACTACTGAGAAGCCGCTGGATGCGCCTTCTGTTTGGGCGAGAATTTCCATTTGATGATGTCCTGATGATGTGGGATTTACTGTTTGCTCATGGACTACGGTCTGATCTTGTCGATTTCACGTGCATTGCAATGCTACTTAGAATTCGTTGGCAATGTTGGTCGACCTTAATACCTCATCGTATCTTGTTTCGCTGACATGTATCATTTAGTGCTTACGGCCGACTATACAACTGCCTTGACATTATTGCTTCGCTACCCTTCGCCCCAACCACACACAGCTCAGACTTTTGTGCAGGATGCATTATATTTGGAACAGAACCCTACCGCCGATCGAGGCAGTTTCATCATATCGAAATATTCAGGTAGACCGCCCGATTCCAAATTTCCCAACCAGCCTAGTACACGGCCCACGAGGAAGGCCTTCCTTTGGGAAGACTTTAAGAAACGCAGTGAAAGCAGCCCACCTGCTGGATCACCAGCCCGAAACAGTCCCAAAAGTCTCGAATCTCTTTTCCAAGACGTCTCCCAGGGAATCCAACGTCGGACAGAGACCTGGGGCGTAGCCAAAGCTGTCCGAGGCGCCGTGACAGAAGCCAGGAAAAATATGCATACAATGCATTTTGAAGCCAATATGCGTCCTAGTTCGAGGCCTGTTTCCGCGACATCAGCCTCGGATATGGCGGCTACGGCGGCCTTGGGCAGACTGGAAACGAAGATCAATCTATTTGAGAAAAGGAACCAGGCGTTGGCAACGATTCTGCGCGAGGCGCTGGATGACCTTGGATCGCAGCTGGCAAATATCAAGGACCTGGATTCTGATACGACCAACGCAGTGAAGCAGGCTCTGGTCAAAGTTGAGAGTGTCCAGATCTGCCTTGGAGACTCTTCGATACCAGTAGATCCCCCTCTTGACCCCCGTGTAGACGGTGAATTGAGCCAACCAACCGAGTTACAAGAGACAATCACATCCACAACGGGTAAAGCCGAAGGCAAAATTGTGGCCAACGAGGGTCAATCCCCAACAATAAATTCTGTCAAAGCGGATATGACCGGGCCGAAGGCCGAGAGTGGAACCAATTCTATCCTAGACACAGCAAGTCGGACACACAGGAAGAAGGAGAGTGCGCGGACAATACCCTCGCGATCAACTGTGCGAACCTCTATGACCGATTCGGGATTCTCGTGGATGCTGGGCGGTGGTCGGAACCTGTCCGGGTTTGTTAGCTCGACATCGCCGCCACCTGAGCAGACGCGGCATCTAGACCAAACTCGAGGCAAACCCAAACCCAATGCCTTGTTCGGAATGAGCGGAGATGACAATCTGGGGTCCGACTCCGAGCATAGTGAGTTGGCGCTGTACAGCCTTCGGGGCTCTCGGGACCCTCTGTCAGGGACTGGCCCACCATGATATCTCCGGATTAGGCCAAGGTCACTGCTTGCGTATGCACTGGAAGTACCCGTGGACATATGGGTCAAGGCTAGTCCCACTTCTTATCTCCTGCCAGGCTGCATTATCACTCAATTCCCGCACAGAAAATGGGTTACAGACCACGCCATTAACGGAGACATTTATTTGGCAGAATCTAGTTTTTTCAATCCCATCTCTGCCTCGATCTACCATGTGAGACAGTCTTTCAACTTCATAGAAAGCTAGTAACCAAAGGGGTCAAAGTCCCACATTAAGACGCTCGGATCTATTAAGAAAGCCACTTTGCATCATCTCGAGTCTTTTCGATGGGAAATAACTTATCCATGGCATATCTCATTGGCGGAGCGAGGGAAGTGGACTCACGTATTAGGGTGGTAGCTTTGTACTTGGTTCTATTTAAGATATATCAGCCATGATTTCTATCTTGTATAGATCTCAAGGGCTGATTCTCAAATTCCTCCGCCACATGGGATAGAAATGTCGATCAGCCGATCTGGATAAGACAAACCGTCAATGCAAGATAAAATGTTCATTTTGTCTTCTATATAATTTTATTTCGAAGGAGAAATGGCTGTAGCAACATAGAAACATAGAAAACATAGGAAAAATGAGTTATTACATCACGGAGGGGGCCCATTTCCCTTTTTCTCGCATCTGGCATTTTCCTCTCCCCACCCTCTCTTCCCCGCTGCTCTTTTTCTTTTTCCTCCCCCTTGAAAGATTCACCTCGACCTCCTCTGCTTGTTCCTACCTTTCTGCGTGCCCAGCCGCGACGCCACATATGCCGCCTGAGACCCTACGAGGCAGCTGCCCGCCCAATCCCCGTCACAGTTGCGAATGACCGGATACATGTCGCATACCCTCGATACATTCTCGATTGCTCGCCTCCATTGAGCCTATTTCTCTTTGTCTCCCATCTGATCATCTGAATTTAAAGCCGAGCATAACCAAAAACTACAAAAAGAGAGACAGAAGAGAGAGAAGAGAGACCTCGGGGATGGGGTCGGCTTACAACCCTGATGGTCAGTGACGCGCACATGCTTTTTCTTCATGTTGATCGTTTAGTCTTTGTTTCTCATTTCATGGGCCTTGGGGAACTAGTGGAGGTGAGGGCGAGAAGAACGGGTTACCGTGGTACTCGGATTGGGCTTACGACTCATCGAGCACCGGAAAGGAAAGGGCGCGAATCGCTTTTTCCCCAGCCGATCACGGTCACCCGCTGGCACATGCTCAGATATGCATCTGACCGTGGAGATGAAGCGTCTGATCATTCCAAACCGTCACGTTTCCTGAAAGGCCCATGGAATGGAAACTCCGAGACGCGCCGATTGACTTGATCATAAGCTAGTGAATCACGCTGATCAAGACTTAGGCGAGCCGAGTCCTCTTTCGTCGCCGTTAGGACCTCTCTCTGAGTCGCCCGAATCCGAGTCCGGATACAACCTTTCTTTACAGACAGACCAACTCAGGAGCTCGGCGGGCAGTGTTTCTTCGGGATACGAACCTCTCTCCAGGTCAGCCGATTATATTCTTTCGACTCCTTAACATAACGTTGACACCTTCTATACTCCAACAGATCCCCGTTATTCGACAGCGACCATGGAATTGGCCCATCTGGACTGGATCGTATACGCCAAAATCAACCCTCGAGAGTACTGACCCTTCCAAACATGTCTTCCTCGTCGCTATCACTAGCACCTATGACTGGCCAGCGCCCCTCTCCCTCTCCCCGTTCTCGCTCATCTTCTCGAGCTCACACCAATCTTTTGTCGAGCCGAAGTTTCACGGATCTAGCGGACCTACACCGGTTTCCACTGGAGTCGCTACACTCCTTTTCCTTTGCCCAGCAGTCCGAGGAGTTTCTCCACAGCCGTCAGAACATTCTCAAAAGGTCTGTTGATTTCATGCGCGACCGGATGGGATGGGCCGCCACCAATGCCGCGATCGCCAGCGCACAAGCAAACGCCAGTGGGGACACGGAGATGCAAGGTATGATGGACCTTTTGGCCCGAGCGAATATTCTCGAAACCCAGGATAACCAACTCCATGGCCGTGGACCCAGCACAGGACCCGCAGAGATTAATAGCGACAATATCTTCGAGAAGGCCTTCGCAGACGGCAATTCCTCCCCGGTCAGCACCCGAGAGGGTGCCCAGGATTCCATTCCTTTGGGATCACATCCTTCTGACAGCTCCCAATTGTTGAGCCCGGTGCCCAGCGATCGTATCTCCAACCAAAGGAGGGACCTGGTCTCTGCACCTACATCCAGGCGCGTAAGCTTAAAACGTACATACACGGACCTATGCTCTGTCTCTATCAGGAGCAAGCTGATGGAAACTCTAGCACAACCATACACCTCTTCCGCGGATCCTTTCGCCTCGCTCAATCCCTCGTCTGCTGGATTAGGATTTCAGATCCCCGCCCTCCACGCCCATAGCAGCAAATGGACCCCGGCTTCCCAGGCCGTGTTTAGGACCGAAGCCAAGGAACCATGGACCATTCTGGCCGCTAATGATTTGTCGTGTCTCATCTTTGGTGTTCTTCAGTCCGAAGTTCGCCATCTCAGCATCCTGGAGGTTGTACAGAAAGAACACCAGGAATGGCTCAAGGCTAAACTTCGAGATCCTAGCACTGACGTCGCTGCCCGCATGCCACTTCAGCCCGAAAGAGCTAACATTTCCGCCGTCAATCCCAAGTACCGAGGTCTTGGGAACGGAGTGACAGCACAACTCCTCAGCAAACCATCTTCACGAGAACAGTCCCGGAGAGCGCAGACTGATGACGGATATGGCTCCAGCACAAGAAACGCCCGAAACAACAACCACCCGGCCAATAAGTCACGCGGTGTCTTGCTGTGCGGTGATGTGGTCCCGATTCAGAAGCGCAATGGGTCACGGGGATCCGCTAGCGTCTGGGTTATGGAAAAGCGTGGTGGCCTGATCTGGGTCCTGGAAGAAATAACAGAGAATATTGCCTTCATCGAGTGTGATGATTCATGGAAAGTCGTGAGTGCCAAAGGTGAAGTCGAAAAAATCTGGGGCCCATCTGTCGTTCAAAAAGGCCAGTCGATCACCGACCTTTTACCTTGTTTGCCATCGGAATCTCTTGAGACATCCCTCGAGAAGGGATTGGCTAAAATCGTGGAGCTGAGGCACTTTGCCGCCCGCACTGCGGCTGGCGTTTGTATTCCCGTCGCGGTCGGCAAGGGAGAAGGAGATTACACTATGCAAGTCTCCAGCTTTCCTCATGTCGCAGGCATGATGGTGCTCTCGTCCTCGTCATTGAACGTGATCAGCTCCAACTCTGTGTTCTCTTCGGTTCTCTTCGGTCAAGAGAGACCGGAAGGACTTCACATCACTCAGCTTGTACCCGATTTCGATGAGATGCTAGACGTTTTGACCGAGGAGGACAACGTACCACTAGTTGATGGTATTGTCATACCGGAACACAGCTTCCGGCGTGCACGGACACTTTCTATTCTCCGCGACGGAAAAGCAAATGCCGCCTCTGTGTTTACAGAGCCAAGTGGCTTGCTTGCCAAGCATCGGGATGGCTCGACCATTGTCGTGGACATTCAACTGCGCGTGGTTCAGAGTGGCACCTGCTTCTCAAAGGACAAGACAGAGAAAAGCAGCAAAAGCAGCAAAAGCAGTGATCGCACCAGTGACTCTGATGAGAGTGATGATACCGTTGCAGTCACAGAGTTGGTCTATGCTTTGTGGATAACCTACTCGAGACAGCTCCACGCTGCTGGACCCGCTGCTGGCCTGTCGCCATCATCTGTCCCAAGTTCTAAGCCTACCTCACCCACACATGACCCTGATTCAGATCGCCCTTTAGACGCCGGTGTTGCTGCCCAGACGGAAAACCCCAAGATTTCTGTGGAGATTGAAGCTCCGACGTCAGCACTTAGTCAACAACTCAGTGAGGCTGCCTCTGAGCCTCTGACCACCCGTCCCCCGCAGCCCGTTCCTCCGGTCTCGGCTGCCAATGCGAAGAACGACCCTCCGGCGAAACGAACGATCAACGACTACGTGATTCTCGAAGAGATGGGACAAGGAGCCTACGGCCAAGTCAAACTGGCCCGTTTAAAGAAGCAGCCTAGCAAGAAGATGGTGTTGAAATTCGTCACGAAGAAGCGGATCCTGGTGGATACGTGGACTCGGGATCGGCGACTCGGGACTGTGCCATTGGAGATCCATGTTCTGGACTTCCTACGGCGGGATGGGCTCAGGCACCCTAACATTGTGGAGATGGAAGGCTTCTTCGAGGACGATATCAATTATTACATTGAAATGACTCCTCACGGGCTTCCGGGAATGGATCTGTTCGATTATATCGAGCTCAAGGCCAACATGGACGAGCTGGAGTGCCAGAACATCTTCCGACAGGTTGCGAGCGCCATTAATCATCTCCACACCAAAGCCCTGGTGGTACATCGTGACATCAAGGATGAGAATGTGATTCTCGATGGAGAGGGACGGATCAAGTTGATCGACTTTGGGAGTGCGGCGTATATCAAAAACGGGCCATTTGATGTCTTTGTGGGAACCATTGGTAAGTTTCCTTCTCTTTGACCGGGGAGGATTCAGTGCTGACTATGTTTGTTAGATTATGCCGCGCCCGAGGCCTTACAGGGCCGGTCGTATCGAGGCAAGGAACAGGACATCTGGGCTCTAGGGATTCTCCTTTACACCATCGTCTACAAAGAGAACCCGTTCTACAACGTCGATGAGATCCTTGACCACCCCCTCCGAATTCCTTTCCTTCCTTTCTCAGAAGACTGCATTGACCTCATCCGCACGATGCTCGATCGTGACGTTGACAACCGACTCACCATTACCGAAGTGCTTGAACATCCTTGGATGGTGGTGACTTGAATCCCTTCTCATACGACTCTACTCTCCCTTCTCCCTCCGCCTTTTACTTATTGACAAAAAAACACAAATAACGCGATACCCCACAAAGTTACGTTTTGATGATGGATGCCAAATTTTCCGGGAAACTGGGTATCATTTCGGGGCCGGTGTGGAGCGAGTGTCTGTTCTTCTAACTTCCCTAGGACCACGTTGATGATGATGATGAACATCAACGCATGATTTGTCTTACTTCTTTTATCGGGGTTTATTTTTATCGAGCTTTTTTCACCCCCTTTTCATGGCATTTGAATTTGCGATACCTTTTGCATATCTCTTTATGTGACCTAGAGACCTAAGAGGGCAGACTTACATACAACGTACGGAGTACGGCTTTGATTAGATTGCGGGGAACATTTAGCGTACGTCTCTTTCTGGCAAATAGTCTACGATAGCCTAGGCTATGACTATCACCTCTCCACTTCATATGCAACCTTAAGGAGTTGATACCAGCAATTTGAGCTAAGGACCTCGGGAATATGTTGCTACACTGACACTTGGTGCCTTGACTTCCAAAACAAAACCCTCAAACGAGACAAACAGGAAACTTACCGTAAAATACGAAGTCGAACCTCGGAAGACATACATATGGCATGTTTGATTCCATGGGTTCCCTGCCATCGTACCACGGGTTAGTCGTCTTCCCCGCACGCGCCCCACCAGCGAAAATAGTCCGAAAGAGGCGAAAATGAATTTAACGGGTTGCCTCGCAGGATTCAGGAACGACTTCGCCTTCGGGGTGTCCCTGGATCGGTGCCTCGAGTGGATTCCCGCTTGGGTGGCGTCGAATTCGGTGTATCTTCTGTTCAAGGCGTCGTCAGCCGAGGTGTGCACTTGGTTTCACATTAGACGATCTGTGTCAAGACATTCTGTAGCGTAGAAATGAAAGTAGGATATACTCTAGGATATACTCCAAAGTCACCGGGATATAGAATATTAAGAAATGGTTCAAGCACATGCCTGTATATACCGGTGCCTAGTACTAACAGACGAGAAGCGATAAGCAGATAACGTAGAGGGGCGAGGTACTTGCGCAGTACAACGTCGGGCTATGTGAGAAAAGGCCAGTGCCAGGTTTAGCAGAGGTATCGCATTCCCTCCGCTCTGCATTCCGCCATTTCTTGTTCCTCTTTGCACCTCTCTTTCTCTCCTCCTTTCGCAACTTCCCCCGCCCTCTGTATCTTCTACTCGGCTCTTTCGGTTCTCTCGGTTTTCTGTACGGTGTCTTTGCCGAAACCTGTTCCACGGTTCCTTCGCCGTGGCCCTACAACAAACAATAACGGTCAATGTGATTTTTCCCCACCGACATTCTGATCACTTCCTCTCTATGTCTCTCTGACCTTCAGATCGCTAATATCCAAAAGACCGGTCATCCTTGAGATCGAACACTATGCCCATTTAAGAGCCCGGTGACTGCGCGCCCGTCGCTCTATCGTTTCCACCGTCCCTCCGTTACTATCCTCGCTCGTGTGATCCTCCGTACCGTGCCGACGCCCCCCGGAAGACGCGACAAGATATTCGTGGGCCAGATCACAGGTGCTACAGCCGGGATCAAGTTGGCAAAATGGCCTCCCAAGTATCCGACGGGGCCCTACCCTCGCCGGGGAGTATCTCTCCGAACATTCCGACCAATTCGACCGGCCAGATCCCATTAGAGCAGCCTCCGAAACTCAAGGGTCGTCAGAAGTTACTGCAGAGTCTCCAACGCATGTCGTCCAGCCCGACGCTGACCAGACGCGGACGCTCCTCGTCAACCACTGGCTACCGCCGAGACAATAAGGCTTCCCTCTCTTGTGTTTCGCTATCGTCGACCTCCTACTCGCCCTGTCTAGGCAATGGAAGTTCCTCCCAGCTCTATGGCGGCCTCAATCCCCGATCTGCTACTCCCGGCTGTTCTGGTTCTCCCGGTGAGTCCCAGGGCGCAAACGCTCGCATCCGTTTGATGGAGACCGATGGCCCTGGTTTCCCTGTACCTCGCACCGTGCCTATGCCCTCCGATATGAGGCCAGCATCGCGTGGGTCACCACGCAGCGCGACGCCGGTGGATGTGAAGGTGGAGACTGAGGTCATCCTTCCAGAGTCCCAGCCGGCCAGATCTTTTGACTTTTGGGGCGATATGCCACAGGAGCTTAAGGTGAAGATCTTCCAATACCTCACCCCGCAGGAAATTGTATGCTGTGCCCCTGTATCCAAGGCGTGGAATGAGATGTGCTACAACGGACAATTATGGTCCAAGGTTGATACGACCGAGTACTACTCTAAGATCCCGGGTGATGTTTTGCTTAAGCTTATCACCTGCGGTGGTCCGTTTGTTCGAGACCTCAATCTCAGAGGCTGCGTTCAGATGCGTGAGAAATGGTCCTCGGACGGAGATCGTATTTCGGATCTATGCCGGAATGTTGTCAATCTCTCGCTTGAGGGTTGTCGCATCGAAAAGGAATCCATCTACACTTTCCTTCTTCGTAATCCCCGCTTGGAATATATTAATCTCTCGGGTCTGTCGAATGTTACAAACTCGGCCATGAAGCTCATTGCACGGTCTTGTCCGCAGCTTGCAACGTTGAATGTTTCCTGGTGTAGAAATATTGATACCTCCGGTCTTATTCGGATTGTCCAGTCCTGTTGGCGGTTGAGGGATCTTCGGGCCAGCGAAATTCGCGGGTTCAAGGATGAGAAATTCACTTTGGCTTTATTCGAGCGCAATACTTTGGATCGCTTGATCATGAGTCGTACCGACCTAACCGATCAAAGCCTCAAGATGCTGATCCATGGCGAGAACCCAGAGATGGATATTCTAACCGATCGCCCTATCGTTCCACCTCGAAAACTCCGTCATTTGGACCTCCACAATTGCCCTGAAGTGACCGACGATGGATTTAAAAGCCTGGCCCATAACGTTCCAGATTTGGAAGGCCTGCAGGTTTCTCAGTGCTCCGAGCTGACCGATGAATCCGTCATTGATGTCATTCGCACGACGCCAAAACTGTCGCATTTGGAACTGGAGGATTTGGAGAATTTGACAAACGCCACCCTGGTGCAGCTGGCTGAATCTCCATGTGCCCAAGAGTTGGAACACTTGAACATCAGCTACTGCGAGAGTCTCAGCGACACGGGAATGCTTCGCGTAATGAAGAACTGCCCGAGACTCCGATCCGTCGAAATGGACAACACCAGAGTCTCAGATCTGACCCTGATGGAAGCCAGCTTCCGCGTCCGCCGCCGCGGATACAGCGACGACCTCCCCCAAATCGGGATGCGCCTTATGATATTCGACTGCGCCAATGTCACCTGGGCAGGGGTCAGGGAAGTCCTCTCCAGCAACGCATACATCCCGCGTGCCTCCCGCAAAGCCGTTGCAACAGTGGTGACGGTGACACAAACATCAGACGCCTCCTCCCCATCGACAAGTACCTTCGTCACTCCAGCCTCCTCGCCCTCGCCCTCGCCAGCACCAACCTATCCCAACGAAATCATCCAGCTGAAATGTTTCTACGGCTGGCAGATGACCGTTGATGAACACACGAAACGTGTTCTGCGCGGCGATCTCACCGCTGCATCCCGGCTGGACCGGAAATGGGCCGAATACATGGTAGCCACCGAGGAGGCCGGCGCCACTGGTGCTGGTGCTCGCCGACGCCGACGCCGTGCCCGTGAAGCCGAGCGTCTGTACAACGAAGACGAAGACGAGAACGATGCTTCCGGCGTAGGCTCTGTCTCTGCTCCTGGCGGGAGACGCAGACGAGCCCAGAGTGGCGGTAGCTGTATTGTCATGTGAGGTAAACGCCTCTTGATGTGTGTTTTGGGAACACCTGTTTTTCGAGCTAGACTCAAGACGCTGCTCGACTCTGCTAGCGCAGGATCGCTAGTATTTCAATGGATGTCCCGGACGACACCCCATTTGAAACTGAAGATCATATCCAATGGTCATTGTCAAGTTACTATGAATTACGCACGATATGATTTTCTTTTTCGGGACAACATCTTTCCCAACGCAACACACTTTCTTTTGCGTTTGACTTGTTTTTTGGCCATTTATCTCTCTCTTTTCATATCTGTTTACCATCTATCCTCACATCTTACCACATTCACCTCCCTGCTTTTAGCTCTGGCGCCAACTTCGGACTTTCTTTCCTGCATGTTATATGAGCTTTTTATACGTTGACATCTTTTGCCATATCGAGATTTCAGCTCCAGCATACGTATCTAGAGGGGTTACCGGCGAGATGATTGGTGTTTTTGGTTTTTGGTTTCTTTTTTCCTTTAGTCTGTCTTTCCTGAGCTTTTCAATTTGACATTTATGCCGCCTTCCTGGCTGCTTTTATGACACGTCACTTCCAATTTATCCTGTAGCCATAGATCTACGCGATGCTGATAGGGGGTTTTTTGTAGACTCTGAACTATTTGGCCTGAGATGATATTACGGGTGATAGACAGGTACTTTGACTTTTCAAAGAAAGCAAGACTTTTCAAAGAAAGCAAGTAGTGCGGCGTACATGCCGGCATTAAGAATAATGTAATGTAGAAATAATTGCAATTACAGTGACGAACTGCGTGTCACTGGAAAGAAAGAAAAAGCAAAGAAGTACATCAAAAAGAGAAAGGCACAATTCCCTAATACCATGAAGCCCTAAAAGAAAAGGCAACACTTGGAAGATACTATCTCTCTTAATGATAGAGTTAATCTCATTTCTGATCTCATTTCCGATCTCATCTCCGACCTCTTTTTCCCTTTTTTAGTTTTAAATTTCCCTCATCCTGCACAGCCTCCGCTGGTACTTGGCTCTAGTCGAGACCAGTCTCGTCGTCAACTTCAGACAAGTCCCGAGCTGCACCGTGATCCAACCGCTGAGTACCGGGCTGTTCGCATGCGCTTTGCTCCGCATTTGGCAGGTCAATAGGGAGAGTATTTTTAGTGGTGGCATCAGTCACTGCCTGCTTGGTTTCAGGTTGTTTGCTCATCAGTTGCACCTGGGTTTGGTGAGCACGTGCAGCGATTTGAATCACAGCATCCGTAAAAGCGAGAGCAGCAGTGCTGGTCTGATCGTGGCCGCGCTCATCAATGAACTCCTTAATTGAATCCCAGATACCCAAGCTGAGCTCAGTGTTCATAATTCTGCTAGAAACAGCATGTTGTTCCTCCTCAAGGCCCGAGGGCGTGGATTCGAGGTCTTTCAGTATTTCCCCGGTGACTTGTTTCATGCGGACTTCCATAGCCTCTTCTGTGAACTCTTCTGGGTCCTCTTCCGAGACCTCTTTGTGGATCCCATCTGTGGCCTGCTTTGAAAGATCCATCGAGCTTTCGCCGTCCATGCCGAAGTCCATTTGGGAAGCAGACCGGTTCCTACTGCTAGCAACTTCATCACTCTGTCCAGCGAGATCTCCAGGATGATTGCCACCACCTGCGTTCATTTCATCATCGGTCTCTTCATCCTCGTCTAACAGGTGGTTCCCGTACGGTCTAGCAAAGTGTTCATAGTCGATATCTTCGAGACCATGGCTATCGAAAAACTCCTTCGGGACGATAATTGTTCTCACGCCACGCATCACAGGTCCACAACGAACGTTGTAACCCCAGGCTTGCCACAACGGGCCGACCTCAATCTCACGGGTGATCAGGTCCGGCAGAACAGCGCAGAGATGGTGCTCCGCAGCCACGAAATCGCGAGCCGAGGCTTTGCCCTTGTAACGCGACTCTCTCTCCGGGCCATAAGGCTTGTGCTGTGTCATCTGACGAGTGATAGTATGCTGAGCACTCACGGCAGTTTCAGGTGCGATGACCGCCCCAACAGACCAGCTGGGGTTGGCTTGCATGATCTCCCTGGTTCGCTCATGGAGCAACCAGCCAATGCATTTAGCGTGTTCGCGTCCACAGAGGATGTAATACCCTTTGTAGATTGGGAAGAAAGGGAGGCCGTGAGCCCAGATGATAGGGGAAGGTCCTGAAGACACACGTTCGGGTTTGATATGGCCCATTTTGTCGAAGTCGTATGGGTATCGACGTGACAGTTCGAGGGCGTTCGTGAATTTGCTCACAAGATAGACCAACTCATCTGATAGTCGGTTGTTGATCGGAGGCAAGATTGGCTTGTCGGTTTTTGGGTCGAACTCGATGTTCACGATCAGTTTGAGCTGAGTTTCTTCTTCCTTCGTGGTGGGGGGCTGTCCTTCGCCATCTTCGGGTGTCCAAATAACATCGGGATTGTCTTCGAGGTGCTCCTTGAGGGCGCTTGCGCAATGATCCCGAAGGATTTCCTGTTGTTTGAGGAAGTCTGCTCTACCTGGCATGTCGCAGGCCATTCTGGCCTCTTTCTCTGGAGGCATCTTGACTTGACTTGAAAGAATTCAGAATGGATTGGAAGATCTGCGCTTTGTTAGCCTGGAGGTCAATGAATATGGAAGTCGCCATATGCAGCAATATACATCGTAAGGTGAACATGAATAGAGCATAAGAATATAGATCGAAGTATAAAGGGGGTAATCTTGCAAGATATCTTACCTGTAGTGGACAGCGAGGTCACAATGGGATGGCGACAAGTATGAAAGTCGAATTGAGAGACACAACAACGCAAAGTAGATGTGTAGAAAAGCCAGATATGCGAGATAGACGCGAATTCAGATCTCAGTAATGAGGTCACAGGTATTGATCCAGTGGTCGCAGCCTGTGAACTCGTGAGAGGTTGATGTGGTTATGTAGCCCTAAGCTACTTGAAGCATTGACTCTGAAGCTAGCTCAATGCAACGAAGGTTGGGATAGCAGAGCTAATTGCAAAAAGGAGGATTGATTAGGAACATGGGAAGGTGAAAGGTTGAAAGTAAACGAATAAGCCAACTTATACATACTTATTGCGTTAATCGCGTTACGAACTATAACTCTCCAATACGCACTGGGTGGCGGATCGCTAAGTAGACTGGTGTGAGTTCCATATAGCTATTACAACGTTTGGACGGCCATTCGTACATGCAACAGATGGTATTCCTTATAAAGTGAAATCGGTTATTCGTGTTCCGGCTAACAACTATACGTCTATGGGCATACATCACAGGCATTGATGTATGCAGGTGGAGAACCCGGTTATTACACGGTGAACTTTTTGGACAGGTCGCTTGGTTATATTGCAATAGAATGTATAGAATGCTAGTGTGGATATCAAGACAAATAAGACACAAACCAATGATCAAACTTATGAATCGGTTACTCAAAGAAGCCACCATCGCTATCATCCTCATCCTCTGCATTGGCTTGCTGTGGTGCCTCGTGTTTCTTAGCAGCCCGCTCGTTGTGTACAGGCTTCTCCTTCTTGCTGCTATTCTTGTCTTTGGAAACATGCTTGTCCTTTTGGGTAGCATCGGTATCTTTCTGTTGATCTTTCTTCTTGCTCTTCTCCTTGTGGGTATCCGTAGCTGTAGCTGTGCCAGACGACGGAGCTTGAATCTTCTCTCCATTGGCGTTGATGCGCAACTTTCCTTCACGAAGAAGGTCCAGTGTCTTTTCTTCCATACACTTCTCAACAACGGACCACAACGGGGGCTTGGCATCGTCCGATTTGGTTTCTTGCGTTTGCAATTCTGTCTTTGGGTCCGTTGCGTCTGGTTTTCCATTGGGGTAGATTGAAATATATTTCTCTGTGAGAGGATAGTAGATCGTGTAGTTGAGGTTCACACGGCATTGGTGGATCTTTGCTGCAAGACGAGCTTTTTGTTTCGAATCCAGACCCTCTTCCTTCTCGCGGCGAGTCAATCGGCCGAGTTCCTTGGTAGCAGTTTTGCGGTCTATTCAATAAGAACACAGTACGTTAGCGGGAATCACAAGATCATTCAGACATATCGGCCACATACCAAGGAATCGGACAAAGTGATATTTCTTGATCAATGATGACCGTTCTCTGCGTGTAGTTTCATCCGCAAGATCTTGCTCATATCCAGCGAGGGCACGTTCCTGCAAGATGCGAGCATCGGCAGACAAATCAATTTTGTTGAGTAGTCGCTTCACGTCACGAATTCGCTTTTTCAGATCGTTGATCGACGGGTATTCCTTTTCAGGTTTGGGAGCAAATTTGTCCTTGTATTTCCGGGTCACTTTGGGCTTCGATGCATCGCCTTTGCTGCTGTATTCCTCGAATTGGACTTGGCCATCTGCTTTGTCGGCCTTGCGGTGCACCTTTTTGCGGGCCGGGGGAACATCCTCTGACCCATCCCGGGACTTCCTCTTTGGGGGAGCTGCCCGATCACGGGGGTCTCGAGTGTCTGTAGACATGTTTGTTGGTCTGACAGAAAAGGAAAGGAAAAAAGAGGTTGAAGCTACAGCAAAAACGATAAGAAAAAAAGATATCGGCGGATTTATCGGCCCGCCCCCCAGATTGGCGCCAACCAATGAGCGTCTCCGTTGATCACCATCACCAACGGCCCTCTCTCGTCGCATTGATTTGATTTACTCCAATTGGTCGCTTGAATTTTTGTACCTGGCAATTTGCACATACCCATGCTACTGAGGTTATATCTGAACCAAGCTTGCTAAAAGGACCAGCATGGAGTCTGCCATTCGCTGGTCCCCGACCTCGTCGGCCACGGAACAACGCTTCCTGTCCGTCGACGTCACGGGGAAATCATTTCGTCTGTGTAGGGTGAATGGGTTTGACGGAAAGTATATACGCCATGAAGTGCTCTCCACTCTGACCAATGTACCCGGTTTTCGCGCATTCGACTGGTCTACTTCAAATGAGAACCTGATCGCCGTGGGCCAGTCGTCTGGGGAGGCTACTATCCTACGCCTCGATGGGGATGCCAAGGAATCTCTTTCATTTCCAGTCCGCAACCAACGGTACTGCAATGCTGTGGCGTTTAGTACACATGGTCTTGTGGCATCGGGCCTCGATCGCGTTCGGAACGACTTTTGCTTGAACATTTGGGACGTGAATCAACGACTCAGTCCTGCTGGCGGAAGTAAAGGATTTACTGAGCCTTTACGGAAGCTCGCCAGCTCAGAGCCTATTACCAGTATCAAGTTTTTCCGGGACCAGCCTGATACAATCGTAACTGGGGTCAAAGGCCAGTTTGTTCGGATCTATGATCTAAGAGGTTCGTCTTTCCTGGTTTCACATTCACGAAGGTGGAGCTGATTTCGTAACAGAGGGACCCGGCAATCCATCATTGCAATTCCCCACTCGATGTGTACATAATCTGGCTATTGACTGGCTTGATGAGAACTACATTGCGTCTTGCATTCCAACAAATGAAAGCACCATCTGCGTATGGGACCGCCGCGTTGGAACCCGACTAACATCCCCAGCAATTGGTTCTTCTGCCAGTGCCACAGACTCGGGTCAAACGACACCTGCTTTGGAACTCAAGAATGTTTTCCATCCGAAATCCTCCATCTGGAGCTTGCGCTTTTCGCGGACGAACCGAGGCAGTCTCGCTGCGCTGTCCAGCAGCGGTCATTTCAAGAATTACGACATTTCCAAAGACTACCTGCCGGAAGAGTATCGCTCTTCGATAGACGAGACTCTTGGTCAGGGATCTTCCAGAAATTATCCAGAATCCGTATACACCAAGCACGTACGGGACGTATGCATACCCTTTGATAACCCGACTCGCGGCTACAGAGAAAAGGACCGGATTGTTTCATTCGATTCCCTGAATATTAGCTTGTCCCCTCAACCAAGTTCTATCGCACTCGACGGCAATGGACAACCTCAGATCATCACCGCGCGGCCCCCGTGCGCACCAATTGATCTATCTTCACGGAGTGTATTGGCCTATGGGATCTCATCGAATGACTCAGATGTGCGATCGATTCACCCACTTTCTGAACACATTGCGCCCATATCCGGCCTGATCGAAGAAATCAGATCACGAGTCTACTCAGCCTCGCAAGAGCAGGAGGAAAATGCAAATGATGAACTGTTTGTGCCAAAGAATCTTGATTTCGAGCCTGTCCCAAGCCACGAGAATAGGGAACGCGCCATGGCTATCGGGGTAATGGGGGTCCCTCTTACTGCCGAAGAAGCGCTCACTCTATGCACAATCAACCAGTTCCGGTGCAAAGAGGGTTATTTGTTTGATGAGGATCAAAACCGAAAGGTGGCATCTGATGACCAAGCTCTACAAGACTTATGGGACTGGATTGAACGTGAGTTTTTCATTTTTCCGTGGGGACACAAACAAACATCTAATACATTTCCTAGGTGCTCGAAAAGAGTCTTCCGGGACGTCAATGGTCGTCAATGGCTTGGACCTGAATTATCTAGGTGTGAGCAGTGTTTGGAATAATGACCTAGGTTTGTCTTCGCTTAAGTTTGAAGTCTTTCTCAAAACTGACGAGAGCACAGGCAATGGTCTCGAACAACGCCGTATTAGTAGTAAGAAGGATGGTGCTAAAACATTTGCGGATACAGTGGCAATCTTGGTAACTCAGTTGAATCTCCCTGAGACAAAAGGTTGTGACACGGCTTACCCCGACCATCGCCAACTCTGCCTTCGTATCTGTGGTGCAACGCAATCCTATCGTGAACTAGAAGAGTCAGTGAAAGCTTTATCTGGCGAAAACCAGCATACTAAAGCCGCTGCGTTGGCTGTCTTCCAAGATGAGCCCAAGCTAGCCTACCTCGGGCTTCGAAGCAACAACCCCACTCAAGCACATAAATTGCTAGCCATGGCGATTGCGGGTGCCTCCAAGGGGGACACTGACACAGACTGGGAGGATACTTGTGCGGAAATCGCGAAGGAGCTCACGGATCCATACGCCCGGGCGATCCTAGCCCTTGTGAGCAAAGGCGACTGGAATGCAGTTATCAAGGAAACCACACTACCTCTGAAGTATCGCGTAGAGGTCGCGCTACGCTGGCTTCCAGATGACGAATTAACTGAGTATCTGAAGGATGCTACAAGCCAAGCAATTCGTCAAGGCGATATTGAAGGAATCGTCCTCACTGGCTTGGGTCATTTGGCCATGGGTCTTTTCCAATCTTATATTGGAAAGTTCAATGATGTCCAAACTCCCGTGCTAGCAATGAGCCATACCGTGCCGCGGCTTGTTAGCAACCAAAAACACATTGTCCAGTTTGAGGCCTGGCGTGAGACCTACCGGCGGCAAATGAACTCCTGGAAACTCCAACTCGAGCGTGCCCGATTCGACGTTGGCTCTCGTCGTTTCGCCGTGACTGCAGACGGTCGCAAACTCATGCCACCACCGCCGCAGCAAGTCAGTCTCACCTGTAACTACTGCACGAGTCCGCTCACCCAGCACGACGCTTCCTCCCAGGTCTCCACTACCAAGGGTGCTGAAACTGTGCATCCCACCGCCGGGAACCCTCTAGCACCTACAGTCATGTCTGGGACTGTGTGTCCGCGGTGTGGTCGACATATGCCGCGTTGCGGCATCTGCACTTTGTGGCTGGGTTCGCCAGATCCAATGTCACGCGCCAGTAGCGCAGCAGATGCCGAGGCGGGTTCTCGCGAGCCCACTGAGACTGAAGTTATGCGGCGGTTTGTGGTGTTTTGCATCCATTGTAACCATGGGTTCCATGCAAGTCATGCCAATGACTGGTTCAAACGACACAAGATCTGTCCCGTAGCAGAGTGTAACTGCATCTGTGATCGGTGATGATTTTCATGGCCGTTCTAAGTCATGAGCTTGTGTTTCCGCGATATTCTATACCCAATTGACGAGAAGAATGATTAAAGAGAATTTAGCCTGATATGTAGATAATAGATGTGCGTCATTTCGACATCAGAAGTCCGCCTAAATAACTGTGTAGAGGGCGACTGACTTAAACATCTCGCCAAAACACCTTGGGCTTTTTTCCAGCCGCTAATTATCGTTTTTAACCTTGAAAGTTATTTTAATGTGAAGAAAGATACTATTTACAAAGATAATCAGGTACACGAGGTCTTGTAGAGCCGCATCTTATAACATTTGGAGTGCCCCACTACAATATTATTCTTAACAACTCCTTGAATCTCTCGATAAATATGGCTCATCCCAAAGACAACAAAGATAAGCGGGGCCGTGGCCATGGTCAAGGCCAAAGTCGCGATGTTCAAGTCTCCAAAGCATTGAGCTTGCTTCTGCGACATGCCGCTGAGAAGGAGGGGCTGAAAATGAACGCACAAGGTTATGCGAGCGTGCCAGACGTGGTATGCAGCTTTGTTGTTTGAATGACCTACGATATACTGACTATATCTGACTCCAGTTGAATTGGAGGAAGCTCAAATCGCTAAAAGTCACATTCCCCGAGATTCTATATGCCGTGAGCTCGTCCGATAAAAAGCGCTTCGCCCTTCTTCACATTCCATCCGCGCGAGCCACCAAATCCAGAACCCAAGCATCAACAACACTAGTGACAACCCCCGATGCAGAGCACGAAGCCGGCGCTATCCTAGGCGAAGACCAGGCTACAACATCCGTCCTGGAGTCTGCACTGAGCGAAGCGCAACAAACAGCCACCGACCAAGCATTAGCCGTCGAAGATACCGACCCGTCGAATTTTTTAATTCGCGCGACCCAAGGCCACAGCATCAAGGCCGTAGATGCTGCCTCTTTCCTCGAGCCGCTTTCTTTGTCCGATGAATCGAAACTACCCGATACCGTCGTCCACGGCACGTTCCACGCGACTTGGCCTTTGATTCTACAATCCGGCGGACTACGCTGTATGGGCCGGAACCACATTCACTTCGCTACTGGACCTTCCTTAGAATCAGTGCTTGCTATTCACGCTGATGCTGCGGGGGGTAAACCGAAGCTTGATGACTCGCGCGTCATCTCCGGTATGCGGCGAGATGCACAGGTTTTGATTTATATCGATGTGCGCAAAGCACTTCAAGCAGGGGTACCGTTATGGCGCAGTGAGAATGGCGTCATTCTTAGTGAGGGCATACCTCTCGTGGCGAGTGGGCAGGCAGAAAAGGGCGAGGCGGACAAGTTCGTCTCGCTGGACTTTTTCGATGTGGTAGTGGAGCGTAAGGTCGGGTTGGGTAAGCTCTGGGCGAACGGGGGCGCTCTACAGGAACTTCCGGAGACTCTTACGAAGAGGAATCCCAAGGCCCGGCGATGAGTGTGATATGGAGATATGCCACCCCAACTGTAGGGAGTATCATATACTTGTTCAGCTCGACACAGACGACCACGGGGAATACAAATAATCCTCCTAATGATCTACCATTACAGTATGGAATCCTTTCCATCTCAAGTTGTCCCCACTTCGATTATAGGGCTGAGGTTTCACCCAGCCGAAAGGCCCTGGGGTCTAACAGCGTGTTATCTTACTATAACGGTAATTCCGACGGCTAAAGCTGTGTAACATACCATGACACTTATATATACATCGTATTGCGTTGGGATTTCGGAAGCTGCTTGTAGCTTTCTGATATATAAAACACCCTACAACTCATTCTATTTGTACGATATTCATATTGAATCTTTGGCATTTCATCCCATCAAAATCCAACCCTCTAAATAATTTATCGCCAAGCTCCCTGCCAAGCTCTGCAGCTACCCGACTGCGGGGAAATCGGAAGTGCAACCTCTTCCGAAGTCCCTGACCGACTGACACCGTACTTTTATGCACATCCGACGACTCCATACCCCAATCATGCCATTGGCGTGGGGTTGCGGGGTTGTCCTCGAATAGGCGTCATGTATTTGGTCAGGTCCACGGACTGGGAATCCCGTCGGATCACCATGTGTGGTATATAACGGTCTCAAGGGGTTTCGATAATCGCATACTCTCCCCTTGTTAAACCGCTCTCTCCTGCTTTCTGTATTTGAAGCCGCACTCATACGCATCACAAAACATATTCATTTACGCGCAACAATGGCGACGCACCGCTTCGATCCCAACTTCACGGACAATGTCATCAACGCGATGGGTCCTAAGACCACTCCGCGCATGCGGAAGCTCATGGCCGGTCTAATCAGGCACATGCACGACTTTGCGCGTGAGGAGGAGCTCACCGTCGACGAGTGGATGGCCGGCGTGCAGATGCTCAATTGGGCAGGACAGATGAGCGACGACAAGCGGAACGAGGGACAGCTGGTGTGCGATGTACTGGGACTGGAATCGTAAGCCGAAGTGTTGTTCGAGAGTGAAACAAAGTCACCAGCTAACATGTATTCGTTGCACAACAGTCTCGTCGACGAAATCACCTTCACTCTCGCCGAGGAAGCCCAGGATGCACCCACCGCCACGGCCATCCTGGGTCCGTTCTTCCGCGCCGATACCCCATACCGCGAGAACGGCGAGAATATCGTCAAGACAAAACCTGCTGATGCCGAGATGGCGTTCATGCACGGTCGCGTCGTAGACTTCCAGACCAAGCAGCCTCTGGTCGGTGCGACGGTCGAGGTGTGGCAGGCTTCCACCAACGGGCTGTACGAGCAGCAGGACCCCGAGCAGGTTGAGTTCAACCTGCGCGGCAAGTTCAAGACGGATGCGGATGGCAGATACTCGTTCTACTGCATGCGTCCGACGCCGTACCCCGTTCCCAACGATGGTCCTGCTGGCAAGCTTCTTGAGCTGATGGATCGTCACCCTTTCCGCCCTGCTCACATTCACATTATTGTAAGTTTGGCGTGGTATTCGATATCAGGTTGAGACAGAAGCTAATATCTTGCCTAGGCTACCTATGATAATTACCGTCCTTTGACAACGCAGATCTTCGACAGCAAGGATAAGTACCTTGACAACGACTCGGTATTTGCTGTCAAGGACTCGCTTGTCGTGGACTTTGTGCCGCGTGAGGGCGATCCTCAAGCTGCCACTGAGCTTGAATATGATGTCAAGTTGGTGAAGTTCGAGACCAGTACCAATGGCGCATGAGCGAGCAGCAGCATTCAAGTAGCATTTTTGTGATTTCTGATGTACTTTACGATAGCGGGATAGCATTGAAGATAACCAAAAAGCCAAACATGATTACTGGCATATTCATCATTCCGTTCTAAATAGAGACTATTTCAAGCATTCAAGCATTCACAGAATCCGCAAACTTGGCGATTAACTCACCCACCTCGTCAGCAGCCTCAATACAATGCCAGTGCCCAACTCCCTTCAATACCTCGAGGGACTTTTTCTCACTCGAGACATGCTCAAAGATGTACCGGCACCCCTCCATAGAAGCAGACTTGTCCTCTTCGCCCGCAATAAGCAGGAAAGGCTCCTTGACCGCAGCATAGTTAGGTGGCTTCGCGGCAGCAATAGCGCGGCACATCACGGCATAGCCTTTCGGGTCCTGGCCTAGGACCAACTCCCGGATGAAAGCCTTCTGAAGCGGGGTGCTGCGCGAGCCGACAGCTCCAGACGGGATGGTATCTGCCATTGGCTCCATTCCAGCTGCAGACAATTTAGTACATGATGAAATAAAACAACACGGCAGGCTTCGAATGGGAAAAACTTACACTCAAGCACAGTATCCGATCTTCTATTCATGACCCCCACCAACATATCTGACGGGTGCGTCGGCCCAATGGCGACAACGCCCAGTACGCGATCGGGGATCCGCGCACCTAGCTCTAGTACTACGAGCCCGCCCATTGAATGGCCGACTACGACGGCCTTGGCGATATGCAGCGAGTCCAGCGCGCCGATGACATCTTCTGCGATACTGGGGATCGTGATTGTGTCATTGGTGTACGGGGAGCGGGCGGCGCCGTATGTGTCGAGTGTGATGCAGCGGTGGAGCTTCGTAAGGTGCGGGATTACTGGGTAGTAGTAGTTTTGTGAGGAACCCAGGCCGTGGATGAAGATAAAAGTTAGGCCGTTTTGGGGAGGGCCGGCGGGGTGAGAGTCGGCATAGTAGAGACGATGGCTGTTTGCTTGGACGAACGGCATTGTGGATTAGGAGTCCGGTGGGAATGGGATCGATCCAAGATCAGAGATGAAGAAATAAAGTAATGAAGGAATAAAGGAATAAAGAAGCGGGCAGCCCTGGGGATCTATAGAATGATAGGTATGTAACGTCATTCCCGGTAAGATTCTGACTACAATAATAAGACAAATGTACACAATGTTCTGAATCCTCTAGACTGTTTCTGGTCATCCCGACGGAACAATTCATCTCTTCTAATCCAAAATATTCGAGTCTCCCGAACCGAAGGGCCTTGTGATGTATCCGAACTGCGCGGATATCACCCGACTGTCGGACCGGACCCGATCTCCATAATGCCAAGACTTCAGGGAAATGTACGCCATACATTGTAGGTACTCCAAAGCTGCAAGACCCGAGACAAAATGTAGCGAATTACCAAGTACAAGTAAAATCATGCAGAGGCTTCTTTATTGAGTTCGTCAAAAGGGTCACCGCTTCCGCGTGCAAACACTTCTTCAATCCAATCCGCAGTCTCGTCTCGAAAGGAATCTCCAAAAGAAGACGCCAAGGTGGGTCTACTGCACGGTCGATCAGACAAAGGAGGTTGTAAAGAGGAGGTGTCCTTGGGTGGGGAATGGTCTCTCGTTCCAGGACTTTTCGTTTGTGTGATAATAGCCGCCTCGGCTTCAAGGAAATCGGCGGGGTCGTACTGGAAAGAGTCGAAAGATGATTCTAGCGTGAGTACAGCCGGGGAAGGTCGTATGTAGGATGATTCCTTGGGTATAGGGGGGCTCTTCGTTTCTTCGTCAGTTGCTCGTGTAATAGCAGCCGTGTCGGCTTTTTTCAAAATCTCTTCGTCGTCGAACGCCGAGCAGTCCGAGAACTCATCTTCTTCCAAGGATGAAGCCCGGGTCTCGGTTGCGATATCCTGGCCTTCAGGCTCTTTCGGGCCATCTGCATCTTGAAGCTCAGATAGTTCATTTTCCAATACTTCATCCAAGTCATCTGATTCAGCTTCCGTATCTCCACCCGCGCTCCCCGAATTGTCATCATGTGCTTCGAGCTCCGTAACTGTAGGCGCAGGCTCCGGTGCAGCAGGTGATTGTCGCTTCCCAGCCCCTAGGAACATTGATAGCATAGGCTGACTCGAGGAGACGCGGGCATTGGGATCCGGGATGCCGCGACGCTTCCGCTCCTCACGGGCCTGCGCCTCCTGCTCGGCTTTCCGTTTCTTGTTGGCAATGCGTTTCTTTTCCTTCTCGCGTAGCTTCTTCGCTTTCTTTTCTCGCTCCTCCCGGCGATCTAGCTGTGCGATCTGGGATGCGGTGAACTGGAATCGTTGGTTGCTGCGCTGCCACCGGCGTTTAACTTCTTTGGATGTCTCCAATATGACGCGACGCGGTTTATCCGGCATAGTGAGGGCAACCGTGGCAGCGACTGCCTCCTGCGTGTACTATCATGGGGATAGAGAGCTGTGGTGAATCTTACCCGAACGCGTTGGGAGTGTCGATGCTGTTTTTGGTTCGCGGCGGTGATACGTTGTGCCGGTCGCGTAAGTCAACAAATTACCTAATTGGGCTGCACCTTTTCAATGATCTAACTATATATTTTGATCTATATTCAGTGTGTTTTGAGATGCTTAGAATTTGATTCCCTAATCCAATCCATACGCTAGGCTTTTGATTATTTTAGTGACGTCATCTAGATTTTGCAGTCACGGACGGGATCCCAGCACACAGGCGCGTACGAGTTGAGCTTCAGACTGGCCATGTCCTCATCCGATAGCGTGAAGTCGAAGACCTGCGAGTTCTCCAGAATGCGAGACTCGGTCACTGACTTAGGCAAGGGCACGTATCCCTTTTGCAGACTCCAGCGGACCAAAATCTGAGCCTCGCTCTTACCGTGCTTCTTGGCCAGGTTCTGCAGAACTGGCTCCTTCATGCGAGTCGCTTGCACGAGGGGAGAGTATGCCTCGACAATGATGTTGCGCTTCTGCAGCCACTCCGCAATATCCTCGCGTGGGCACCATGGGTGGATCTCGTACTGGCCGACGGTGATTTGTCCGCCCGCTCCGCTCTTGATGTACTCTTCCAACTCCTCGAGGTGCTGGATAGCAAAGTTGGACACACCCAACGAACGGACGTGGCCTGCCTTTTGGGCCTCCACAAGTGCGCGCCATGTGCCAAGGCGGTCTTCCTTGCCACCATAGGGCGCGTGAACCAGCATACTAATATCACAGTGTTAGTTCGCTAATATGTTTTATTTCAGGAGAACAAGGAGATCCATACAGGTCAATGTAACCAAGGTTTGCCGCGGCGATGCTTTCCTCGATGGCCTTCTTGGCCTTCTCGTATCCCATGCATTTCGAGGGCACCTTGCTAGTATAGAAGATCTTAGAGCGATCAACTCCAGACCCGCGGATAGCGGCTGCACTTTCTAGTTCGTTTCCGTAGACTTTGGCGCAGTCGACCTGTAATAGGATGGTCAAATCTGGAAGCGATTGCCGCATGGGTCCTGCAGTTGCTTACATGGCGGTATCCGATTTCAATGGCCTTGCGGGTCACCTTCTCAGTGACATCGGAGGGACTATTCAAGAATAAGTCAATATAATCTGTCGCGGGGGTTTCATACAGCGATAATCATACGTTTGGTAAACCTAATTTGTAGATAAGTGTCAGTCATACATATCAGAACTCTAAGGGGCCAATATACTCACTCCGAACCCAACGACGGGGATCTCGTAACCCGAGACCAACTTATAGGTAGACTGCAGCGAAATGGGAGCCATGATGTGCGAATTGATAGTTGAAAGGTAAAAGAAGGCAAATGAGGGGATTAGCTTGATAGATAAAGGTTTCGATATCCACGGACCACCTCGGCTCAGTCATTTCCGCCCGTTTCTTGGAGCTTTGACGCCATCGAAGTGGGGATGGACGATGAAGGGGACTAGATGCGGCTATATCAATGGCTGACGAATGCTACGTGGGGCTCAGATGAGTAATTGACGGCTTACATATTGAGGTTATTATTCCACATGGAACTGCCAATGATAACATCTGCAAGCTTTGACGTCAACTTTCCATGCCCCAATCTGATCTGATTAGGGTTAGGCTTTATCGATAAGGCATGACTCGTGACTCTGGCAGCGCAGGGTGATTTAATATATGCGCTGGAGGATTAGAATATTCCGCAATTCCTTATTCTCTGATGGCCCATTGAAAATCCAAAATAATCGCCCAGAATGAGTGCGTCTGCAGAACAGGTGGGATTCTTGGAGGATGACCGGGCGGTAATGGACGGCATTATTCTATAGTGGGGTGAGTTTGGCAAGTTCAACATCGGCAATGCCCTCATATTAGGTTGATTTGTTCGATATATCCATGTTTACAGGAGCATTCTAAAGCGCTCGACGATTTGACCCATTTTCATACAACCCTGTTATCCCTCCAATCTGCGCATTTTCAGGCAACATATGACGACATCGCAATAACAACACGCCATTTACCATCCCAAGCCCTCAGCCTATAACCGTGCAGTATCACCGCAAAAATGCGTTGCATCAAGAACAAAATTGAGCACAATGGCTCTGGAACGGTGACATTGTGCCCAGATGAGCCAGAAGACATGGTATTGAATCCCTCATTTTCAGTCTCAGCACCCCGCAGTCATCTGATATACAATTCGCTATATCTAGTGGCACGCCTACAACCTGATCCGACCAGGCGATATCCTTCGCGCCAGCGCAATTCGTCGAGTTACCACAGTTCAGGATACCGGGTCCACGAGCTCGGCGCGCGTTCATCTCAACCTTGTAATTCGCGTGAAGAATCTCGACTTCGACCCGCAGAGCTCTCAGCTCCATGTATCAGGACAAATTATCAACGAAACACCGCACACGAAAATCGGACAATTCCATACCCTCGATCTAGAGTTGAATCGCAACTTTACGTTAGAGAAAGAGGTTGGCGCAGATGGAGAGGGTGTCGGGTGGGACAGTATTGCAATTGAGTCACTCAAGGACGCTGTGGATGAGGGCGGGAAACGCCGTGCAGAGGCTGTCGCGGTAGTGATGCAGGAAGGACTGGCTCATATCTGCTTTATTGGCCAATTCCAGACAATATTGAAGCAAAAGATCGAGATGTCTGTGCCGCGGAAACGGCAGGGAGGAGGGGATCATGATAAAGTGAGTTTCTGCTGTCATGTCATTATCTGGGCTCGAAATTAACGATGCATACTGCCAGGGAATGAACAAGTTCTTTAAAGTTACACTCGAGACCCTTCTTCGACAAATGGAGTTCAATACCAGTCTTACTTCAGGCGCCAACAACGAAGCTGTACGGCCCGTGCTCCTCGCATCCCCCGGGTTCGTCGCCGCTGGCTTCCAAAAATACATCCAATCCGAGGCATCAACAACGACTCCTGGGCTCAAGCGACTCCTTCCTAGTCTTGTGGTTGTGCACTCCACATCGGGGTACACGAATTCCTTATCGGAGGTTCTCCAGTCACCCGCCGTTAAGAGTCTGCTGGCTGATACGAAGTATGCCCGTGAAACAAAATTGATGGACGACTTCCTAGAACAACTGCGCAAGGAGACCAACAAAGCGACCTATGGCCCCCGTGAGGTTGACTACGCTGTTGAACAAGGTGCTGTCGGCCGAGGTGGCGGCGTGCTCATTGTTTCGAATCGCTTGTTCCGATCACAGGATATCGCTGAGCGTAAACGTTGGGTGGCGCTTGTGGACCGCGTCCGCGATGTAGAGGGTGGTGATGTGCGAATTCTCAGTTCAGATCATGAAAGCGGAAAGCGTCTCGAGGGGCTGGGTGGCATCGCTGCGCTTTTGACATTCCCTGTTATTGAGCCAGATCTTGACTCGGATGCAGAATAAACTGGTGACTAAACGGGCCATTCAGAATACAAAGATCTATTATAACATATGGCATAATCAACGCATGAAGACCTTGGAAGATGCTGTTTACAGCCTCCTCTAGCGCAGACCGTAAAATTCAGCGAGTGCAAAGCAAAGCAAAGCCATACGCTGCAGCAATGAATTCGATCAGGGTATTCGATTGTCTGTAGAGCACTGACTCACATACGCCTCATGTGATGTGGGGTGGCCTTCCAAGGTACAACACTTTCGAACCTTGGAAACAGACTATATCATAACCTAAATAGGACATCATGAAATACAGATTGAAATGAGCAAGTCCCACGAACCAGCCACATCTAGTTTTTAACATGTCTGTGGTCAGTGTAGTATGCTTTATGGCCGCTAACCAAATGACAAAATTCGAAATAATGTTGGAGTATCGCTTCAAAATGACGCAGAGGTGTTATTCCACTGCGCGATTCAACCCATGTTCTCTGCCTATTTACGTAGACAATCCATCAGAAGAACTGGGTTAAAGTCTTGGAAATGTCCATCGGTCCCCGCTCTTTCATGACTGCTCGCTTGGCAGGACGATCTCCCCCTTCGGGTGGTTCAGTCCTCTTCTTGTCTCTTGCACGTCGCTTCTCGATATCAAACTTTTGCTTCACAGGATCTCGAGTGAACAATACGATTGACTTGGCATTATAGCGAGAGCGGACAACAATCTTGTCTCTTCTGCTGTGGTCCACAGTTGGTAGTTTGAATTCCAAAATCGGGAGATTCGTTGGTAAGGATGATGGTCTTTTCGAATGCTCGTCTCCGGGTGTCTGGAGACTAGCCTGGTACACATGAAACAAGGCCAAGAGATTATCGTCGATGGTTTTTGACGTTCCGTGAGTTTCCCAATACCAATCGAGTCTGCAGGCCGACCATCCCTTTATGGGAATGATGTTATTCGCGGGCCTATCGTATTTTTGAATCGTCTCTGTGATATTCTTACACTCGTACGCCACAATAAGTTGGAGCTCCGGTAGCTCACGTAGAGCTCCCACTGCCGCAACGGTTATTTCACATTGATGGTAGAGCCTGAGAATTCGGAGGTGCTGCAGTGCTTCGGACTCAATCCAACCACGCACAAATCCATCTTGCAAGTCGTTGCTAACGCCCACTGGATCCAGCGGGGGGGAATTCGACGCATATTTCTCACGGTAAATGTCCAGAGCAACCAAATTCTTGATATTTGGTATAGTGGTGAAGTCTGAGGCGGTACAGTACGTGGTTGCAATCGTCAGGATTGCACGCCAGCGAAGGTCATCGCTATTGAGAATACCCATGTAGTCTCTCAGTGGCTTTTTGGGACAGCCAGCATTGAGGCAGTAGTAAGGACTAATCTCATAAAATTGTACAGGATAATTGCTGGCCATTATTTTCCACATGTGCATTGTCTGCTTGTTGCTGCGTAGATCGTCAGATCTGAACAAGCAGACTCAAGAATCTGCGGAAGTAGTTTAAAAAACTCTCCAATGATGACTTACTACTTTTTGAGAGCATCCCACAGGTATTTTGCCAAATACCAGTGAACGTATTCAAACAGCTCAGGCTTCAGCGCCGACTGGTCCCGTAGCAGAGCTTTCATTGCTGCATGTTTAAGTGATCCAGATCCTTGATCATTGGTTGTCTCCAATCCATAGGGTAAAAAAGGAATCTCATGGTACCATGTGGGACCGAAACGGAGCACCGCAGGGGGGTGATCGTCTTCAAGGATGATGGACATCACGGAACGGAACCATGGCCAGAACTAGCATGGATTCAGTGATAAATTGCAGTGTAGATTTCTAGCAGTTTCCATGGATTAGATTACGGCGAAGGCCGGTGTTTTCCCAAAATCAGACATCGAATGTTGAGGTTGAACGCGTGGTTGGAGTCGAAGCGCGACTGGTTTGATACATGCACGTGACCCTATCTTATAGACCATTGTAGATCCACAGGTTTTTAGGCAAGCGGCATTTTGGTCTACCCCATCAAATTCTCGCAACCTTTAAAGAAATTTCCCTTGCTTTCTTTGGCTCCTAACCTCAGTCATATTACACCATGGTTAATGCCTGTCCAACATTTCTAGCTAAGCATCCTGCTTATCTCCGTTACGTTCGTGAAGTTGCTTCTGGGGAACTTGTGATGCCGAAATATGAAAGGGTAGGTAACTGCATTCAAGTGATACTTGATGAGTGATTATCTAGAGGAAGTATACAAGAGGCTGACCAATATGATATACAACATAGGATGAGGATGACCGTGTGATTATCCAAGTTGGCGCGCAATATTGTCGTTATCCAGGGTGCAGGGTCAGCAATGTGAGAGAGCCAGACCCTAAATGCGTAACACATGCTTGCTTCTAGATTATCACCTACGGAGCGATGCTTAGCTTACTGTTCTTAGCACCCTTTCCTGACTGGAAACTTGAAGAAGCATGTTACCTGCCACAGTGAAGATTTGCAAGTGGCCGATGGAATTATCGGTCGGATCAGTTATATTGAACAAGAGAAAGTTCGAGGTAAAATTGTGACTTTGCAAATACGTATCTAATCGTCGAAATATCTAGCTTGGTACAATTATCCTTTTGCTTTGGTCCCTGATCGGGCCCCGGCCTCAACCTTCCCCTCGGTCACGAATTCCAATCGCACTTCCAATCGCACTTCCAGCCGAAAGACCGACCTCAATTTCAATTGAAATGTCGATCACGATGGCTGAAGATGCCAGGTATAACAGTTCATAGGTGCTCTAAAGGGTGGGTCGATGTGAGTAGCTATAACACAATTCATTCTTAAAGCTTCAATAACGTCTTAATAACGTCTTAACATTATCTAATAATACTTTATTAATGTATTATAAATGCTCCAAGGAGCCAACACCGTCATCTCCCAACGCATACAAATTCACTCCTTCACCCACCTGCCTTTTGCATTTTATACAATTGTATAGACTGGGTGGGGCGGAAAGTGGACTAAGCTATTATTAACACGTTATTCTATTCGTCCGTCCTTTAACCTCCCGCACCTTAAATGAAAGTCGTTTTAGTCTTTTCCCTCGGTGTATCTTGGACAAGGTATAAATCTCAGACTTTGGCCTTGAACCAGCCGCCGACAGCCATTTTCGGCGCCCAATTTACGATGAGCCAGCGTTAGTGCACCCACAAATGAGATGAATTTGCTGCATTTCTCTTTTGTTCATATAATAGAATCAAACCCCAATTTTCTTTATCCGTTCATTCATATAAGATTAGGGTTGATGCAGAGAAAGAAAACAACCAGGGCATTTGCACAGATATGCTGACGCGAGAAATCTAAACAAAGGCCCTTTATCCAAGCCATCATCCTCCTATCAAAGTTATATTACAGAGCTCTTCCCTATCTGAGATTATTCACAAAAAATTTAATCCATCGCCTACTTTCTTATTGTCAATTCTCAAGCTAGGAACAAACACCAGTCTTCCATGTTCCCTTCTCCTGGTGCACTTTCAACTCTCGCCAACGCTAGGAGAGGTCTGAGTCCTTGCCAACTGTGCCACCCGGGCTATATAGACATATATAGATCTCATGCACCACCATATACCTATATCTACAAGGACGAGGTCCGATTTGGGATGCGCTATATAGAGGATGCACCAGATGGCAGGTTGTATAGTACCCAAGACCACAGCCGAACATGATCATAGAACAACAGCAAAAGCAATGCGATTGGCCTCGCGGGAATCTTGATGATGGTTGCTTAGTGGACGGGCTCTGTGATATAGCCGACAAAACCAGGGTCAAGACTTGTGACGAGGAGTTCATTCTCTGGCGAGTGGTTTGTTCCTCATCTAACTTGAGTCGGTTTTTACCTGGTGCGTATTTAACCAGCCTATAAGACTAGCATATGCCTAACCGCTCTACTTTACAGCTACCATGTCCAACTCAAATTCCCGTGAGAACAGCCCGGAGTCTCCTAGCACAACGATGCCTTGAGAACCGACAACGATCTGGCTTGCTTCCAAGTACGATGTCACCTATGCCCAGCATCGCCTCGTCCCACTCCGGAGCAAAACCCCTACCAACGAAACGGGCGAAGCAGGCTTCGAAAGGGGGAACACCCAGCGATAGGGTTCTCCAGAGATTTACGGATGGGAAGTGGATAGTCCTCAAGCCAACCGGCTTCCCGCCCGAGGACTTCTTCCTCAGCCTGGTAACGGTATTAACTAGGCGCTCCGCTCCCTACCTACTTCCGACAGGTCGGGAGCGAAGCACGTGGAAACCCGAAAGAAGCTGTGGATGGTGGAGTTATATTCAATCGAAGTGACACGACAGCTGGCGGGAAGAAGTGTGACCATCACGGACTGCGAACGGAAACCCCGAGAAGCTAGAGTCGAACCCTACTCTACGGGAGGCCCAACACGGTTCGTCACATAACTGACGCGATCACTGCCAGAGAGATCCCACTGGCTAGGACGTTCATTATCATGTTTGCGCTTACACACCGTGCGCTTTCGACCTCTTTCTCAATATAACCGCTGGTACTAATTGTTATGGCTAGGGGGAGAATATACTTAACGGTAGGAAGGTCTATAGGCCTTCAGCATCGGCAATCAGAAAGCATATTAATATGCATTGTGTGAGTGGTACCGTATACTACTCGTTATGACTAGTCATTAACGATATTATAGGGCCACGATGATACTGAGGATTGTACTGTCTAGGAGACTGGCAAATCGGAGTCATTTTGTAGGTATAACCATGTAGTTAACTAGTCATTGGCTACTATTAGTAATGACAGTAGTACTGAATTATCCTGATTTATAGCAACTTAAAATCCCCCCTATCTCCAGGGCTTCCATGTACACATTCCTCAACTCCGTTCACTTCTGCGCGCATAGCGACTCTGTGCACGGATTTTATACCCCTTCCAGTAGAGCAAGTAAGGCACAGGCAAAAACAACAACGAAACTCCACCCCAGAGAGTCAACGTCCATTCAATGCCAAGCTCCTTATACATAATCTCCGCGACTATAGCCATAGCGCCAGCAGCGACGAGCCTCAGCATCTGAAGGGAGGCAAGCGCACTTGCAGAATACGACTCGTACGAATCAGCGACGTACTGGTACGCCGAGACGAAGATACACAACGACCCAAATCCAAAGAATCCCGAAGCGACGAGCGGGCTCCAGTACGAGACTCCATGTCTGGCCGTCCAGCCCATCCAGAATAGCGATATTGGGACAGCAGGCGCACCGAACATGCCCATGTACAGACTAATCTCGGGGTCCGGGCGCTGTTCGCCATTCGCACGGCTGTGGTATATGTCTCTACGGACCAGCCACATTGAAATGGGGACTGCCAGTACAGAAAGAAGGACCCCGACCTCAATGGCCAGGAATGCGACGTCGGTAGCGGCCGGGCTGAAGCCGCTTGTCATCTCATAGATGGAGACAAAGCCCGCAATGAAGGTGTACAGTATCATGAAGAGGAGGGCGACGTAGATTGAGTGGATCATGATAATTGGTTCTGTTGCAAGAAGCTGAAGTGGCCGGTATAACGAGGTAGACATGCGTTGGGTGAACGTGGATTTTCTGAACTCTATGGGAGACCGGTAACGGTCGTCGCCTGTCAGGCGGCGGAGCTCTTTTGCTTTCCAGTACAGCAGGATCGGGCTGTATGTCTCGGGCAAGAAGAGCACAACCGGGATCAGGAGGACTCCTGCGAAGATTATAGTCATCCAGTCTACCCAGCGCCAGCTTACCGCGTCAGAACTGACAGCGAATGCTCCTGGTGTTGGTGCCACCAATGGACCCGTGAAGATGAATATCGCAAAGATCGGGAAGGTGTAGACTCGTTCAATGCGTGACCAGACATCCACCAGGGATGCTGCTGATACAATCGCCGGGGCAGACCCGAAGAGTCCAGCTAGACCGCGGCAGACGACTCGCTGCACCACTGTTTCGGAAAGCCCTGCGCCCATGTTGAACAAAATGAACCCGATGATGGTGGGAATGTACACGGGGTTGCGTCCGAAGAGTTCTGATAATAGGTGCTGTTATCAATGCGCCTACTCCACAACCAATCAGAAACATAGCTAGATGATCTCAGTTAGTCTAGTTGAAACGATTCAAAGTGTTAACCACGTACCAGTAGGCAAAGTCTCGACCTCAAAGGTAGTATGATACAATTGCTTGGTTGTCATGAGAGCAGTGGAATCGATCGTGGATGACCAGAAGACCACACATCCAGTAAGTGAAGTGAGAATAGTCGTAAACAGTCGACATTTAAATGACCAGTTGTGAGGATCCATTATGTCACACTCGCCTTCAAATGTGACGATAATGAGTTCGTTCTTTTTCAATGACTCGATATCAGTCTCACTGCCCGTACTGTCACACGGCCGGGGTCTTTCAACGCCAGTCACCATAATATCAGGCGTATTTCCCAGCGTCTCTTGTGTATTGATGGTATGGGGATCGGTTGAGAGTACCGGGTCGTACTCCGAGCCCTCGATATCCCCTTCTCGCTCTATATGTGATCGGACTGAATGGCGAGGATTGAGGGATGGCCCAGATATAAAAGTGCGATGGCCATGCTCCCTCCTTCGTCCGGCAGCCGGGTCATCATTCGGCTCGCCAGGTTCTGTGTGGATCTCTCCTCCGCGGTACTCGTAGCGGCCCTCGTGAGTCCAGACATTGTCGGGCTTCTCATGCTTTGTAACAAATTGTTGTTGGAGCTTCCTGCGCAGAACGCGGTGCTGGCGAATTGACTGCATTGTGCTTGATTCGGGTCCTGCGTTTCTGGTATCCGCCCTTGTTATATTGAATATTAAGATCAGTTGGGGGCATGAATTTCCGTGGGGGCTCCTAGGGGGCAAAATTGACATATGACGGTCCCCTGAGGGTATAAAATCCGTACAGCGCCACCATCCATATCACTCGGTCAGCTCTTCCGCCAATGATGGATCCCATCATATCGAGTTGAACATGTCTACATAGTTGATGAGAGCTTGGAGCCTTGATCTTCTCGAGATAACGAAGCTAACTGCAGTTTCCCGTAGTGAGAGTATATGTGTTGGTGTGCAGATGCCCAGGGCAGTTGTCTACGATGATTCCAGACCGACGCTTAGCTAATCTGCACTCCATTTTCAACGCATAAGAAGGACTCATAAGGATTAATCACAAATAGTGCGCCACCCACAGGCAAAATATTCACTGGAACACCGATGGTGGAATTACATACATGGCAATTCATTAAACACGAAAGCATGCTTCATTGAAAGCCAGACAAGCATCGTCCCTTATCTTCATTTCCAAGTCCATTTACATCACATAAAGGATGTCCGTATCTGTAGGGGAGGTCAGAATTGATTGCGGTCAAGTAATCCGAGACTCGTACCTAAAGGGTGGCTGCAGCTTAGCTGTGGCTTCTGGGAATATTTGGTCGCAAGCTCGTCACGAATGCTGTTCAAAAGCTGGACATAACTCTGCTGAGGGTTCTTCCGAAGCGCCGCGATGAAAGCCCATGACATGGCACCAGTAGCCTGCCCGGCAATCTGGGCATCCTGACTGGTCTGGTCGTCCTTGCTGCCGGACCACATGATGACATCCGCGGGGCTAGTCTTTGTCTGCTTGTTGCGTTCATACACTTCGTCACCCTTGGTGGCCTTCTTTATGAAGCCCATGGCGGTGGACACCATGCTGCCCATGTCACCACGTGCGTATGCCGACACCACACCAAGCAGGCCTTGTCCAGCCTCCTTGGCCAAGTTGGGCTCCTTGAGCACACCAGAGGTGGAGTAGACGTAGGGAAGATCGAGAGCGGAGCCAGAGTGGCAGGAGTCGAAGATCGCTGTAAGCCGGACTCCCGGTTGTAGAGTCTGCACCATGATACGGTGCATCTCATCATCAACGATGTGGCCTGCAACCCGGAAGTCCACCGGGTAGATAACTTCATCGTACCCATCTTCTTCATCGCCATCCAAGTCGGGTGTCTGACCGCCATGACCTGAGTTCTTATTAGTTCACCGCTATAGCAGCGATGGAGGCATTTTACTCACCAGAGTAGTGGAAGAACAACGAGTCATTGGGACGCGCATCCTTCACCAGCCAGTGCATAGCCCGAAGTATGTTTGCCTTGGTCGGCTGGCTCATCGGATTTTGCTGGTCATCAGTCAGGAGCACCATGTCCTCGCGAGCATAGCCGAAGTTTTGGTTCAAGTAGGTCGACATGTTCTTGACGTCGTTGATACAGCCGCGCAGTTGACCTTTCTGGCCGAAATAATTGATACCAATCAACAAGGCCTTTCTCTTTCCTGTACAGCGGGAGTATTGGAAGCTATAGCCTTGGGGAGCGCCGTGACCGAAGGCGACGGGGTTGCTGGGAGGGGGAAGCGGACCGCCGGCCTGACCGTAGGCTTAATTTCCGCCTGATTAGCTTTCACTGCTAGCGATGTGGTTTCAAGCTGGGAAATGGTAGGCATACCTGGTCTTCCTTGGATTGATTGCCCAGGGTGCTGGTTGGCGTGCTGGTTGTACCCAGACGGCGGAGCCTGGGGAGGATTGATACATGTCAATCTCGTGTATATTCAAGGCAAAACTCATCATAACATACATTGTAGCCTTGCTGAGGAGGAGGCGCGCCGTAGGACTGGGATGGCTGGGGCGAATGGCTGTAACCATACGGGTTGGATTGCTGCTGCGGCGGCGGCTGATGCTGCTGGTGGTAGGACTGGCCGGGATAGCCGCCATAAGAGGGCTGCTGCTGATTCATCTGTCTGCAATCAAATCCTTGTCAGACGGGTAGGTTCTCAATAGAGCAAAGGGATAAACGTACGGGTACTGCTGTTGCGGGGGATATGACGGCTGCTGCGGGGGGTATCCCGGCGCGCCCGAGTACGGTGGATAGTAAGACATCAGAGAAATCCCCAAGTCCACCTAGGGAATCAAGCGAAATGTAAAGATGTAGAGGAGAGAACGCGATGTTGAATGTGGAGAAGAGAAGATCCAAGGCAGAACAGATCGGGAGTACGGCAGCTGCCAAGCCAAGCCTTGAAGAGAGCAAGATAAATTCTGAAAAGGAAAATGTAAAATATGCAAAGAATGAGATCAAGTAGAAAGCGTCCGAACAGTTCGGGGATTTGTAGAGTCCAGAGATAATTTGGCGGGGATCGTCTAGAAACTCGCCACTTACAAAGAGGTTCGGCGTCCACTATTTCCTTATAAGGCTGTTTCGGATAGGCACTAGACACTAAGACAACCAAAAAAGAAACAGAAAACAGAGAAAAGGAGGGGAAAACAGAAAAGAAAAGAAGAAAAAAAAATCAACAAATCAACACGACATAATCCGAACTAACTTTTATATCTGACATGGGTTCATCGGCAGCTCCGATCAACCCCTGGAAGCCCAAGACCCTCGGTCATTGGGCCTCACTTACTTTATTGAAGGTTTGTACTTGTTCGGATCATTTTGTAACAGTATCTACGGAGTGGTAGCAAAGCACACACATAACTAGCTAACTAACTAGATCCCACACACGATGGTTATACCAAATAGATCCCCTTTCTGCGCGTCATACAGCTGAAGGAGATTCAATAGCACTGTCTTGGCGCCGAAAATGGGCCAATGGGATGTAAAACGGGTGGAAGTGTTTGGAATATAGCTACCTAGACAGAGATTCTAAATAAAATACGGAATAGCACGGGGTACAGCGTACGGACTACTCCGTAGATATTATTAGGATCCGTATAAGACCCCGTCGTAGCGCGGACCAGCTCGGCTTTAAGAAAGTGTATCTGATATATCACCTGCAATTGATCAAGTCTGAGGAAATACTTTCATGAGGACTATGTTTATATTGTATGTACCTGGAAAGACTGTGTGGTTCACTCGGGTCATCTCTAGCAACTCGTCTTCTATTCTCCCTGTACTTCATATTCAATATTCATCTCACAAACACCGGCTTTGGGCAGAGTTCGCTTCAACTGCTTGTGGCCCTCAATCATGCAGACGTCCTTCTTTTTTTGGGGGGAATATCATCGAGCATCATCCAATTTTGGTCAAACTCGTTTATCCTCGTCGAGGCATGCCGCGGCCACGGCCCCGGAGGGCGCGCTGGGCAGCACCTGGCGGCATACCGCGCTGTTGACCAGGTTGAGCTGATTCCTCATTCTCTGTTGGAAAGAAAACATAGGTTAGTGGTGATTCCGAGGATGGAAAGCAAAGAGAAGGAACTTACTTATCGTCTCATCCACACTCAGGATCAAGCAAGAGGCCTCCACTGCGGCCTGGATAGCATTGACCTTGACCAGGCTGGGCTCCCAAACAAAGGCCAGCATATTGTCACGGACGCCCTCGTTGTCGAAGTCGACACCAGCCCAGGTGTTACCCTTGCGGTGCTCCACACGCAAGCGGTTCAGGATATCTGTAGCGTCGAAGCCAGCGTTATCACACAACTGGCGGGGAATAACCTCCAGAGCCTTGGCGAATGCCTTGACGACGGCCTGTTGCTTGTGCGGGACGTTACGGTCGGCAAACCCGTGCATGTAGCTCGACAACTCCATTTCAGTAGCACCACCGCCAGCAACGATGGTTGTGTTACGCAGAGCACGCTTGACGATCATGATAGCATCGTGCAGACTACGTTCCACCTCCGCAATAAATTGCTCAGCGCCACCACGCAGCACGAGAGTGCAGGTCTTAGCGCGAGGGCAGTCGGAGAACAAGTTGAAACGCTCTCCACCAATCTGGCGCTCCTCGAACGCGCCACAGGTACCCAGGTGGCGCTCCTGGATGTCAGTGCAGGTAGATTGGGTTGCGGCACCGGTAGCTTGGCAAACACGGTCCAAGTCGTCCGAGGCCACACGGCCAGCACAGAAGATGTCTCGGTCCGCGAAGTACCTGCAAATTAAATCATTAGTGTCTAGGCACATGCCTCATAGTGAATAGCAAGCACGTACTGTGTGGCAAGATCGCCAATAGGCAGCTTGCTAAGCACGACCTTCGCTCCTGTCTTGTAGATAGCCTCAAGCTTGTTGAAGATGATCTGCCATTCAGCATCGACGATGGCCTGGTATTCCGAGACCTGCTCGACACGGACTTCCGCATTGTCCTTCTCACTCTTAAGCTCAAGCTCGACGTTCAAGCACACAATACCGGGGTTCTCGAAGTGTTTGGGCTGTTGCTCGAAACCGGCGTAGGAGAAAGTCTTCTTGAAGGCGACACCGTCGACGAAAAGCGAATCCTGGAGACCACCACCGGTAACCTTCTTGACACCGATCAACCTCTCGTTAAGGTCATCCTGGTCCAGCGAAAGTACTGCATCCACAACCACTATGATACCATCTCGTCAGCCTCGGGGCCAAACCTGCAACCACAGGGTAGGGAAGCCTTACTCTTTGTGAAGAACTCCGAATTCCGCTTGATAAGCTTGCTGTTCATGGCTGTTGCGGCTAACCGTCTTAGTGTCTCGACCTTCTTTTCGTGGCTCTCTGAAGCATCCATCATGTCCACTGCAATCTCCTTAATCTTGTTGACTGCCATGGCGCTCGATCTCCGCAGACCCTTAATGATGGTCTGCGAGCTGACACCCTGCTCAACGAGGTCTCGCACCTCCTTCAGAATCTCACCGGCTAGGACAACCACGGAGGTTGTTCCGTCACCGACTTCGGCATCCTGGGACCGAGCGATATCCGTGAGAATGCGGGCGGCGGGATGCACAATATCCAAAAGCTACCGAATACACGCAAGTCAGAATCGCCAACTTCCTCCGATCACATAGTTGCATCAATAGCAAGACACACCTTCATCACTGTGGCTCCATCGTTTGTAATGGTCTGTTTGCCATTGGCATCCACAAGCAGGAGATCACCACCATAAGGACCGAGAGTGCTCTTGACTGTTCCTTGCACTGCGACACAAGCGTTGATATTGGAGATAATCTGACCCTTTCCCTGAGAAGCATCGGTGCCTGTAGATTGTATAGGAACAGTAGTTAGCATAGGTTACAGAATCCCACCAACAAAACTGCCCGCACTGGAAACAGCACGTACCCTCTTTCAACACGACAATCGTGGGGGTTTGGCCGTTGAAGGCCATGATTAAATCGGTATTAGGACACGAAACCGTTCAATAAAAAAATAAATGAAATAAGAAAAGGGGTATGATGAGTTGAAAGGTCGGAGGGGTTGATCTGCCAAAATTTCCCAGAGCTTCTGTTCCCCAAAAGCCCCCCCAGTCGCGCAAGGCGGTGACCAATCAAGGCTCCTCGACCCTACGCATTTGAAGAGATGTACAGAATTTACATCTATGGATTGAATATGGAGTTTTTAAAATATGGATAGAGATAATCTTTTGAATAATATGCCCAATAAAAAGCATACCGTAGCAGAGAGCGCGCTTCACTGTCCACGGCACAATGGTAGAGTGTTAGCGGTATCTCAGACGGATGGCTTCGAAGGTCGACAATAGAACAATAGAGGAGAGAGGTAGAAAAATTTAAGTTAAGACAAAGCAAACCCGAAATGCAATAACTCCCTCGGAATGAGAAACCGAGATAAAAGTTGAGGCGTGTTCACGTAAAGTCATAATTTCCGTCTGAAGGACTTCCATACTCGAACTTGGCGAGTAATTCAGCATCATGCTGTAACTCGTGTGAGGGTGGGTTTACAAGTCCAAGCACATCTTGTCTAAAGGGATCCGAGCCGTCATCTACCATCATTTGATATGCATTGCTGGCTGTATGGTAGCGCATTGCGTCGTCAAAGCTTGACATGCTGAGATTGTGTGGGTTTGGGGCGAACTGTCCCGTCATAGAGTTATGTTGTTGGTAGCGTCGTAACTGTTGATGTAGTTGCATGATTTGAGGATCGAGAGGCATGGGTGCGAACCCAGCCATGGAGTGGACTGTATCGGGCATAGCTGCAGGAATGGGTTGGTGCATAAGAGGGTTGTAATTGGGAGGCTCATCAGGTGCTTCGTCCATCTCCTGCGGGACATTGATTGGGTCCTTCGGGGGCTGCTCCATTGTGCTATCCATATCCATGCCAGACATCGTTTCCGATGGCGATTTATCATCATCTTTGGTCCCTGGTATGGGGGGCACCTTGAGAGTCTCTTTGCATTGTGGACAGTCTCGAATCACGCGATTGACGGTTTCTTTGATTCGTACCCAATGGTATTTGATCGCAATAGCTGCTGTGGTTTTGTTGATTCCAGCATGATGCTTGAGGTGAACTTCTTGGGCGATATCGTACTGCTGCTGCGGGTCTGACACAACCTCCTTATCCTTCAGCATCAGTTTCTCGGGCTCCCCATCCTCACCACCAAGAAGTTTATAATGAGTCGCCGCACTGCGAAGGCGACTCTTTTCGGCCCGGTCAGCACCACGAGGGTACTTCCCGTGCTTCAAATAATACCGAATTTTCTCAAAACGATCCTGAGACACAGAATCCTCGCCATCCAAGCTGAGGCCTCTACCGTATATGATCGCATCGACGTACTCCCCAGGTTGTGATTTGATACTGCCTCCACCGGGGACTCGGCCAATCCGTTTAAAGCCAAGGGAATCCCACAGGCGACATGACGCAACGTTGGACTCATATACCAAGTTGAAGACCGCATATGTATATCCCTAGAAAATATTAATTCATAGCCCTTTTGAAGCGATCGTGGTGAATAACTCACCAGTCGAGGTGACCACTCCAGATAGGATTCGCCCATCAGTCTACCCACGCCCTTGTTTCGAGCAGCATCGGTGACGATGAAAGTGCCATTGCAGACATGACTACTACGGCCGGGGTAATTAGGTCGAATATGAAAACCACCTAGACAGATCTTGGTCCAGTTCGCTCCAGCACGGTCCATCGCATGTGTCTGCTCTGCACTCTCGATGTCGCCAATAAGCATGACCACACCAAAGTTCGAAAACCAATATCGTCCGAACTGAGCCAATGGGATGGGCTCGGTCATAGCATATGTATCTCCCTTTTCAATCTCTTTGTTGAATTGGTCAGAGAGATACTTCATTAGAGCCCGCGGTACTTCCTCTGCTGAAGTAAAAGGGATCAGGGTCGCAACGGTAACCCGATCTCGCAAAGTTACTTGTCGCGGAGCCAAAGCAAGCGGATAATCTAGATCAGGGCCCGATGGAACGAGCTCTGAATCTCCATGAACTTCAGACATGGTAAGGTGAACCTCTGGGGGAGGTTGCTAATCACACGACTATTTGACATGTTAGTGGGATACATTCTATTCCAAAGTATCTTTGCATAGGTGAGTACAAGAATAACAAGTAACAAGGAAGCCTCGGCTACAAGGAAGTGGAATCAACAAGGGGTCTGTTCACTGACATATTCTGGACTGCTTCTAGAAGCCCTCGATCGCACTTCGAGGACCGCGTGAGTATTCTCGAGTCCGGAATGGCCGCAACGCAAGTCGAGAAGTCGTGGTCACTTGCTGACTCAGTTTCATGCTTAGTAAGCTACCATCCCGGCTCTGGGGTATTTATGCCTGATTTTTCGGGCGTGATGCTAAGCGACAATGGATGAAATGCTAACTACCCTTTGTTGAGAGTAGGGACCGGCAAAACTACGTAGAATATGCTTCAAGTCTCTCCCAAGCACTGTGGGCTCTGCGCGTGGCAGAGGAATAAGTGAGGATTAGGGCAAAGACCGGCTATCCCCCGCCTGTTCATAGTTGCTTTATTTAGTGACGTCATATATCCATAGTCGTGGATAAAGGGCCATGATACTTATAGATAGCCAGAAGCGAGAGGGGGGGAAAGCATAAACATTATGAAGAATATTCGGAGTCCTGAGTCCAGTGGTATATCCCAAAAGGCTGTCGTAGAACTAACTAACTATGTGGCTGAGTCGGGCAACTACCTAGGTACTCATGGGGCCAAACTCCCTCTCGCATTTCCACCACCTTTCGTATAACTCACAATGCCTTTGATCGAAAGAAGGAAAAAATAATACAACGATGGATATCATTCCTCCTTCTTACGAATCAGCAACAGACAGAGATGCTTGGACAATTATTGCTCGCTATATCCCTTCCAGCGACCTATGCGCTGCATCTTTAGTCTGCCACAGATGGCATGGTCTATTTATGCCCTTCCTCTGGGGTAATCCTGCATCTCACTTTGGTACAGATAATGATGCAGTCTATGGTAAGTAAACTTATGAACAACAGCGATTGCTCAAAAAACAATACCTGACTGGATCATACAGTGGCTCTCACGCGATTCCGAAGAACACTCAAATATGCCCGACAAGAGGTGCGAGCGTTAACCCATACCCTTCATCTTCCACCCGCTCTCTCGGAGATATATGGTGGTCCGCGACCGGGCTGGTTGAGGGACATTCTCGAATGTCTGCCATGTCTTCAGTGTCTGATGGTCTCGAAGTTACCATTCTTTGACCACCATGCCATGACAGCATTGAAACCCCATGAAATGTCCAACCAGTACAATATAAGGCTCTTGTTGGCTGAACGTGAGCCGAATGCCACTTCCACAAGTCTCGCAAATACTCTCCTCTTGTTTCCAGCATTGACCTACCTGGATCTTTCGTACACCACCCCAGCACGAGACCGCAATGTACTGTCTACGCTAGCTCAGATGCCGTTTCTCCGGATACTCAAATTGCGTGGTATTGGGCTGAAAGATGATGACGCCGAATTTCTAGCCAATACGATTGGACAACGAGTCCGTTGTTTGGATTTGAGAGACAACATGCTCACTGACATGGCAATTCGATTCCTGCTACAGTCATCCTTTCTCCCGCCAGACGGAAGAGAAATGCAAGAGAGTCCAAGGCAGGCCACGGCTTCTCCAGATCCCTTCTCGCACTTTGCAATCAATGAGTCTGGCTCGGATTTCTTCAAGCGGCCGGACTTGGATGACCAGTTTGCGAAGCTTCTCGCTCAGCCTGTTTTATTTCATCCATGGGTTGAAGACTTGCCGCATACGGGAATCACACATCTTTATATTACTGGCAATCAAATATCTCTGGAAGCTGTGGCGAATCTTTTATTCTCGTCCCGACTATATGCTCTCGATTTCGGGACCATAAAACCACCGGATAAGGCACATCACACGCATCATTATCGGAAGGAGAAATATTCGGGAGCCGAAAAGCTAGTCCCAATTTTGGGTAAGATTGCAGGAGACAATTTGATATATTTCCGAGCGCATCATGCTGTTCTCACAGGCCAATCACAAACTAAAGACGCTTCATCCAATGATAAGTTTCTTCCAGAGCTTTCAGCACAAGATAGCCCCCGCGAAGTCGAACAATTTGAGCTGGATACCTCCCAGCAGGTTTATGAGTTGCCCGAAGAGACAAGACCTGTCTTTGAACTTGCAGATACATCAACGACCGACTCAATTAGCTCATCTTCCATGACAGAAAGGTTGAAAGCATCCCAGACATTGAAATCCTATGAGGACGAGCCTGGCCCGTCGGTTAGGCGTGGATCAGCTTTTGCTCCGGAGGTCGTACAGCCAATCCCTATACACAGTAGCGCCAACGAAGGTACGGTCTTCAGTGCTAGGACAGATACATGGGATACAGACCAGGCCGAGGGAAGCACCTTGCCATCCATTTCAATGGCTTCAGACTGCGACAAGCTTGCGGCAGACTTCTCTCTCCAGGCAACCATGCAATGCAGCTCCCCAATCTCGCCGAACGATTCTCTCGCACGAACAGTACAGGAATTGTTGGCAAAGCGACCACGTAACCAATCAATCCCACTTCAAGGAGGAAGAGAAAGCTGGTTCCCTTACCTACACCCATCACATATTCCTCACATGGAATCTTTGGTGCTGACAGATGTACCATCACATGTGACGCCTAACTCTTCAATACTTTCTGCGCTCACTCGGTTCATTACTGCCTGCTCAAACGAAGCATTACTAGCAACTCTACAAGCAGGATCAGACTACTCCCTCCCACCAGGGCAAGCACGCATGCAAGCCGAGCAGCGGCGCTCGCGATCTCTCTTTGGCTTGCGGCGTCTAGTTCTTGAAATTAAACCTGTTGATACCTCCAAGCTGACATCATGGAAACCCGGGAACCAATATAATGCCACAGGGCATTCAAGCACTGGTGACCGCGACTCGGAGAATCTTTGGTCTGCAGCCGCCGATGATTTCAGCTTCTTCGGTGAAGAAGAGTGTGGAGTCCCCGAAAATGACCCTGGCAAATACTTTCCCATGGCTGTGCTTAACGAAAAGGTCTCGCTTATGCCGTCGGAGAGTGCCTCGTTGTATTCACCCGATTCTTCTTCGTTGCAATCACCTGATTCTTCTCGACTCGGGCGTCACCATCCACAAAGTGCTGAGACCCCTGGTCCAACAGGAGCTACTAGAGATAGAAAGCAACAGTGCCAGGTCCCGATGATTGACCTTGTAGCAGAGCTTGCGACCTTTCGTCGCCGCAAAAAGGCTGAGTATGAGCAGGTGATTCGACGTGAGAGAGGGCGGCGAAACACGGTTGGCACGGGTGCTTCCGGCATGAGTAGCCTACTCATGCCATCATCACCCCATATTGCTCTCTCCCATTATGTCGAAGGCCATTGGAAGGGAGAGGTGAAGGTCGTGCGGGGCCCAATGCCGAAGGTGCGGACCGGAACGGTAGATATGTATGGAAACTATTTTGAGAAAGGGTACCTGTACCCATAAATTTCGTACTTGGCAGATACCCAGCAATACTACATAGCTACTCAAGATAATTGATGTCTACGTCACGCGATCATGTTTTGTAGGAATTTTTGATATTTTCTGAGTCCTCCCTTGGACTTGAACCATCCTTCCTCCCAGTCATAACAAGCCGTCGTAAACGGGCTCATAAACGTCACAATGCTAAAGAGACATCCAACTTGCCTTCGTCGCACAATTGGTGCCGTCTTTTTCATCCTCAGTGTAGAAGCATGGCCGGCAGTTTTGGGACCGAGCATCACCCCTGCGATCCGGTTGAGAAGAACACCAATGCGAAGAGTGAAGACAAAATAAAAGAATTCATTTCAAACTAGTTCCATTTTATTTTGTTTGTCGTGCGACATTCATCTCCTTACAAAGCCTTGGCGGCAGTAGGGGGCTGGAGCTTCTTGCCGTCCTTGTTGAAGCGAATACGGGGAGGGGGAGCACGGTTGCGGCGGCCTTCGCGGGAGCGAACACTATGAACGAGTAATTAGTACGTGGAATGCGACTAGGTATCGAGGAGGGCAATCGGTGGAAACGTACCGGACAATCTTGCCGTGAATGGCGCAGGACACACAGTACTGGAGCTTCAAGTACATCTTGGGGACAGCGTACTCGGCGAAGACGGAAGCCTCGGAGATATCACCTGTAAAGCGAGAACGGTTAGTTGCACTGCTACATCTGAAAGTCCTCGAATGGTTTGTAGCCATAGATCTTGAGATCTTGTCGTATATTCGAGGTATCGAGAGAGTTGTCACGTACGAATGGCAGCAGACTCAACCATGTTGCGGATGGTGAAGCGCTTGATGGCCTTGTCCTTGGGGGTGCAGCGAGCGCAGTTGGAGCAACGCACAGGCTTAACGTGGCCGCGGCCATTCTTGTTGCGGCCGCTATCAAATCAATTAGTTACCGTGCCCCTGAGGTTGCGAATCAATCGAGATCCAGTCTCCCATTCTTCTTGTCCGGCAATGTGCGTAGGTCGCGATTTTCGATGTATTTAGAGATGTATGTCGTGTGCGCTTCCGTCGGCGTCATTGCGGAGATGTCGAATGGGATACTGTTTCGCCGAGATGGGGGGATTTGTTGGTCTTACTTGTTCGCCCTCTTCTTGACCATTTTGACGGTTTGTTCTGTGGATGGTTAGGTATTGGTCTGTGGGTGAAAGGGGGGGGTAGATAGCGTACAGTTGACTTGTCGGGAGTGGGTTGTCGAAGCTCGCTCACACAAAGTCTCTTTCGGGATGGATTGGATTCCGTTGTGCGGGTAGCCCTAAGCCCTTAAGCGAGATGGGTCACGGGGCTGATGCCTCAAATCTCAGGCGATGATATATCTGGATCACGTGTATCGCATGGATCATGTGTAAAAGGTCACGAGCAGTATTTTCGCCTAATTCAGACTAGCGTCCGGATCGTACCGTGTCACTCCGTGTTTATGGTTCCTCCAACCCCGACTAACGAAGGAACACCCCTGTTTGGGATCGACTATTGAACTGCCCATTTTTCTTCTCCTTCCTAGGATTTCTCCTTGCTTTTTCTCCCATACCAGTCTCACAACTTGACATCCTTGTTCTGTTTGTGTCATCTCCTTTCTCTCTTTTTTTTTACTGAGACTTTCCCCTTTCGGCATTATTATGTCGGCCACAGGTACTTTTCGGGGGAAACCCAATCAGACGATCGGGAGAGGAAGGCTGCCCGATTTCGCGAGCGATCCTAGCGCTTCCCACATCCCCCGACCCCCCAGACCAGATTCCTCTGTTATAAGCACAACAGCCACTAGCGACGTCGGGACTCCCACTAGCACTGGCACTGGCACAATGAGCGCCGCAAGTAGCAGACAGCGACAGAACCAGTCAAAACGTGATGAGGTACGTTATGGCAGCTAGCGGGAGTGATCTCCTGATGGTCAATTTGAGCCTCGGCTTTTAGCTAATCTCGACACAAGGCCATCCGCCGCAAAATGGAGGCCGACCTCAGCAAAAAAAGGAATACTCCGGCAAAATCGAGGAGCTCCCGCAAAGCGCCTCCCGGTACGGTGCTCGCCCTGAAGCCCAGCCAAGCCCTCCAGATCAAGCCGACCATGAGTATCGCAGAGGCCGCCCAGCTTATGGCCGCGAAGAGAGAGGACTGTGTGTTGGTCACCGACGATAATGAGCGCATCTCGGGTATTTTCACTGCCAAGGATCTGGCGTTCCGAGTCGTCGGAATGGGCCTGAAGGCGCGAGACGTCTCTGTCGCTGAAATCATGACCAAGAACCCGCTGTGCGCGAGAACGGACACCAGCGCTACCGATGCCCTCGATCTTATGGTGCGAAAGGGATTCAGACATTTGCCAGTCATGGATGAGAATCAGGATATCTCTGGTGTTTTGGATATTACCAAGTGCTTCTACGATGCTATGGAAAAATTGGAGCGCGCATACAGTTCGTCTCGCAAGCTGTACGATGCGCTGGAAGGTGTGCAGACAGAGCTTGGCTCCAGTCAGCCCCAGCAAGTTATCCAATATGTGGAGGCATTGCGATCCAAGATGTCCGGTCCGACTCTTGAGACGGTCTTGGATGGCTTGCCGCCGGTCACTGTCTCGGTCCGCACCACCGTCAAGGACGCTGCGGCTCTGATGAAGGAAAACCACACTACTGCTCTGCTAGTCCAGGACCAAGGCTCGATCACTGGTATATTCACTAGCAAGGATATCGTTCTTCGCGTTATTGCTCCTGGCCTTGATCCATCTACTTGCAGTGTTGTCCGTGTCATGACTCCTCACCCCGATTTCGCCCCGTCGGATATGAGCATCCAAGCCGCACTTCGCAAGATGCATGGTCAGTCATTTCAGTCAGCGGTTCAAACCGAAGCATGCTAACTCTACAACAGATGGCCACTATCTTAACCTGCCCGTGATGAACGAGGGTGGTGAAATCGTTGGCATGGTGGATGTGTTGAAGCTTACATATGCCACTCTTGAACAGGTATGTTTGAAAGTTACAGATCTGACATGCAAAAATTTTGACTAATGTATTCAGATCAACACCATGTCAACCCAAGATGACGAGGGCCCCGCTTGGAACAAATTTTGGTTATCAATGGATCACGAGTCAGACTCCATGGTCTCTGGCGGCCACAGCCAGCAACTGAATACCCCACACCGCTCAGTTATCAGTCCCGACCTCACTCGCTCAGGCTACGACAACAGTCTTCTCCCCAACGACTCAGCATCGCACCACGGTGATGATCATTCCGCTATCTCTCAGCACTACCCAATAGAACCAGCCGCTCCTACTCCATTCCCCTTCAAGTTCAAAGCCCCTGGTGGTCGAGTGCACCGTGTGAACGTCCTTACCACCAGCGGCATTACCGACCTTGTGTTGCAAGTCACGGCGAAACTTGGCAAGGAAGTCGAGGATGTTGGTGGCGAGGCCACTGTTGAGGAGGGTCGGCTGAGCCACACTGGATATGCCCTCAGCTATATGGACAACGAAGGCGATACCGTCTCCATTACCACGGACCAGGATATGACGGATGCCATCGATCTGGCCCGCCGCACTCACCGCGACAAGGTCAATTTATTTGTCCACGACCCCGCCCAGGCACCTAACACTGTGTTTGAACCTCATCATGTTAAGATTGTGACTCCTATGGAAGAGCAAAGCTCTGCTGAGGAACCTACATCACAAGACTCCCCAGTGAGCAAGGCCCTACCCCAGCCACAAGTCGTGCCCTTGCACGCGCCAGAGGAGCAATATATTGCCGGTGTCCCCAACGACTTGCTGCTGCCCGGTGCTATTGTCACATTGGCTGCGGTTATTGTGGGTGTGTTCATTCTCAGCCGCCCCGGTCACCGGTAAAAATATTTGGCATTCCCGAAACCCTCTTTCTTCAAAAACTCCCCTTTCTCTCAATCAACTTGGATATCAAGCAACCTGAGATAGCGTAGTAGATTCTTTTCCTGTCCGGAGTGTTGCATACCCGTTTTGTTTTCTAATATCGATATTCCGTGTCGCGTTCAGATACCGCTGTTCGTATGAGCAGTTGCGGCGTTACCTAGGTAGTTTAGCCTTCAATGCAAATAATTGTTCGAGGTCGACTTTGATCTAACGATTTGTATGTACAAATAAGTAAGTTGTTTGAGGTCTTCATAGTTGTGTCTGTTCGATCTGAGTTGGCCTTGTGGCCTTAAATTACCGCATTTGGCTTAGCTCCAGATACGATTATGGACTTTTGTAGGTTGTCCTTGGATTTTCGTGCAGTTAATTTGCAATCTTTGTCGAGAAGTACCCGATTCTAAGACCTCGATATCCTCAGTCGAATCTCTCTCCCTCTTGTTGTGTTATTCGACTGGCACTTCCGTTCTTCTTCACTTCCAAGGACCTATCCATCAGAAATTCTTCTTTTTTCCCTCTCTCCCCGCCCCACCAAAAACAAAACTCCTCCTTCGTTCCACCCCTCTATCCCCACCAAATTACTTCTACGAGGGTTGAAAGAACTGGGTTGCTTGGATCGTCTGGAACTTGGGAACAGACACGCCCAACATGTCCCTCCTACCTCCCGAAGTCCACACCGCGCTTTCTCAGCTGCTCCGCGGCTTGAGCACGCCCGACAATGTCGTCAGATCCCAGGCGGAAGACCAGCTTAACAATGACTGGGTTCTGAACCGACCAGATGTCCTCTTGATGGGATTGGCGGAACAGCTTGGGGGTGCAGAGGACACAATAGTAAGTTACACCGGACTCCAGGGGTGTGGCTGCTTCGAAGGAGTGGTGTTGCAAACGATCGACGACCAGGCCAGCAGCCGAACTTCAATGTGATTTGGGATCAATAACTGATGGGAGACCTTTAATTACAGATGCGTGCTTTCGCCGCTGTGCTTTTCCGAAGAATCGCGACAAAAACCCGGAAGGATCCCGCCACAGGTGACAGCAGGGAGATTTTCTCGAGCCTACCCAACGAGCAGCGAATCGCCATCCGCGAGAAATTGGTGATCTGTCTAACCAGTGAGACCGTCACCGATGTACGCAAGAAGATTGGAGACACACTCGCTGAGGTGGCGAGGCAATACACCGATAATGGTATGCGATTCGAACAACCCTTGACAAAATGAGGACTCTTAGTTCTGACGATTTCACCTGTGATTGTAGACGAACAGTGGCCCGAACTTCTCGGTGTTCTATTCCAGGCAAGCCAGAGCCCTGACTCGGGCCTGCGGGAAACCGCATACCGTGTGTTCACGACCACCCCCGGTATCATTGAACAGCAGCACGAAGACGCTGTTGTGGCGGTTTTTACCAAGGGTTTCAAGGACGATAATATTTCCGTATGTCGACATCTGGATATGCCCTTCGAACTCAATTTTGACCATTTCATCAGGTGCGAATTTCAGCTATGGAAGCCTTCGCTTCGTTGTTCCGGTCAATCTCCAGAAAGTCCCAGCCTAAATTCTTCGGCCTCATGCCAGACCTTCTCAACATCCTTCCTCCTCTCAAGGAGTCCTCTGAGAGCGAGGAACTGTCCTCGGCACTCCAAGCCCTGATCGAATTGGCTGAAATCTGCCCAAAGATGTTCAAGGTCATGTTCAACAACTTAGTTAAGTTCAGCATTAGTGTCATTGGCGACAAGGAGCTCAGTGACCAGGTGCGCCAGAACGCACTCGAATTGATGGCCACCTTTGCCGATTACGCCCCAAATATGTGCAGGAAGGAGCCGGAGTTCGCACAGGAAATGGTCACACAATGTCTGAGTCTGATGACTGATGTCGGTGCGGATGACGACGATGCGGAGGAATGGAACGCGTCTGAAGATGTAAGTGTTGGCATTTCTGTCGTTATAATTGACATGCCATTGACCAGTAACAGCTTGAGCCTGAAGAGAACGATCTCAACCACATCGCCGGTGAGCAGTGCATGGATCGTCTCGCCAACAAATTGGGTGGACAGGCCATCCTCCAGCCCGCATTCTCTTGGATTCCTCGCATGATGTCGTCTACCAACTGGCGCGACCGCCATGCTGCTTTGATGGCCATCTCCGCTATCTCCGAAGGTTGTCGCGACCTGATGGTCGGTGAACTCGACCAAGTCCTAGCGCTTGTTGTTCCTGCCCTCCAAGACCCTCACCCCCGAGTCCGGTATG